AATGAGTGTTCATAACTTAGGCTTTACATTTTTTTAAATGGTAATTATAACTAGACCTCCAGGAATATGATTTTCCACAAGTACAGTAAAACTTCCGTCCTTCATGAACAGCTCTCATGTGCTCACGAAGAGCATTCCTGCAGGATAGGTGTTCTCCACAGATGTTACACAGGAAATTAACTGCCTGACCCTGTGTGGGGTGCTGGGTTTTTTTTGTGTTCTTTCAATGCCTGTTTATATTGAAAAGTTTTTCCACATTCGTTGCATTTTTCAACACGAATATTATTGTGTTTTGTTACATGTCCGTGGTAGTCCCAAAGCCTGTTAAAACCGGCATTACATACAGAACAAGAATATCTGAATTCCCGAAGATGCTTATCCTTTTGATGCAGTGTTAATCCTCGTTGCGTTGTGAAAATCTTCCCACATTGATCGCACAGATATATGTGGGGTCCTTTTGTCAAACAAACAGAAGTAGTCTGGGATTTTTCATGCCTGATGCGTTTATGCCTTTTTAAGTCATACTTTCTTTTAGAACTGTACGTGCATACGTTACAATGAAGCATTTTCACGTCTTTTAATTCTATTGCTTCTTCTGATTCCGTAACTGCTTCTAATAAACAGTCATCCATCCTTAAAAAATAAAATCATTTAATAATCATCTGGTATTTATTTTATCAATACATTTTTAATGAATTATTTGAAAAAAAATTCATGTAGGTCGCCTGAGTTAACCGCTTATCCTTTTTTAATAAACAATTTGTCGACATTTGTTGTCCACATGTTTTTTTTTGTTTTTTTTTTTTACATTTTTATTAACAAGAATACTTTTTTTTCTTTACAAAATTAATATAGATGTCAAACTTAAGTTTAAATGAAAAGATGAAACTCCGTAACTGTTGGATTAAATGTATGTATGGACTTTGGTACTCAGTTGACCTTCAAGGCTTGTGAATCTATTGTATTTTCACTAAAACATGTAAATACAACGCGCGTTTACTTTTGGAACGAACAATACAATTCGAACAATCTCGTTTGAAACGACGCATACAGTGATTAAATTGCCAGAGGTATCTTACTACTGTAAAATTTCAATCCGTGACACTTAAATTTAGAACTCCAAAACATTCATGACATTGTTCTATGATTCAATATTCAATATGTACCATTTTAAGACATAATCATATATCTTGTGGGCTTTAAAGTAAACGTAAACTTTACATGCTTGTGAAAGTATGTGAGCAAACGATTACGTTTTTAAAATTTCTACTCACTAATTCTTACAAATTTAAAACAAACAACTTACACTTATTCAGGGGGATATGCTGAATGATAATATCTCAAATTCATTATATTTATGTGTCAATATCCATGCTTACCTTGCAATTTAATGGGTACCTTTTCTCCTCTCGGTTTGTTTACACGCTTCGATACGCAGGAACTTCCGTTTTATTTAGTATGTGGGTTAGACACTGTGGACCATGGAAATTACGAAATGATGACTTTAAACGAGACTGCTGATATTCTTGTTTCGTCAATTTGTTTGTTAATAACTTAATTACTCTGTTTAATAACTTGTTCATACGTAGAGCTTGCTTTTGCGTATCGAATTGAATCAACTGAGATATATACACCCGTATGCTTGTGATAATGGCATAGTGTTGTACATAAGAAAGGGAAGTTGGCGATTGAAAAGTTAAAGTCATCACGTTTATATTATTATAAAGCTTTGTTGTTAGATTATCATTAACCTCTCTGTTTAGTAAAATACCTCGATATCAAATAAGAAACAAATGTGCAAGACTCGGTAGAATCCTTATTTCAAGCTCACCGAGATATATCTTGAAAGTCGACATAAAAATGGAAATAATCATTGTTCATTGCCAATCTATATCTAAAAGTCGAACTGAAAACCAAAGCAAGTGTTTTAGTCTTTCCACGTATAAGATTTTGTACAAATTCTGCTTCAAGTGAATACAAAAATAGATTTGTTAATAACGGAGTGCAATATTGGTACCTATTTGAATTCCAATACGTGTATATTATTGGAAGACCAGTACTGTTCTCCAAACACTGCATATATATTCAAGCATCTTTTTATTATCAACTTTAAACAGAGTACTTGAGTGTACAATCAGATTGTTTTTTATAAAGTAATTTCGCAAATAACCAATGACAAAGAACAATGTACTTAAATTTACGAGTTCCGTTTTTAGCTCACCTGAGTCGAAGAACTTGTCACAAAGTATCATTGGGTGATGGGGAGTCAAATTTTTGAAAATGACGGGCCACACACTCTTCCAAGGGGAGATAATTAATAATAAGTGAAATATTAATGACATCTTTTAAAAATCTTCTCAAGAACTACTGGGCCAGAAAAGATTAAACTTATCTGGAAGCATCCCAAGGTAGCGTGGAATCAAGTTTGTTCACACCATGACCCCCAGGGATAAGGCGAGGTCACAACAGAAAATCCAAGTTTTACATAAGAATATATCTAAGAAAAATCTTTTTAAAATCTTCTTCTCAAGAACCACTGGGCTAGGAAAGATATTGCTTATGTGGAAGCATCTCCAGGTAGTATAGAGTCAAATTTGTTCATATCATGACCCCCAGGAGTAGGGCGGGGCCTATATCTAGGAAAATCTTTTTAAAATCTTCTTTTGGAGAACAGCAAAGCCATGTTTGGTCATATTTAAATGGAAGCATCCTCTGGTAGTTTAGAATCAAGTTTGTTCAAATCATGACCGGGGGGGGGGGGGGTTAGGACCGGACCACAATAAATGATCAAAGTTGTTATAGGAATCTAGAGGAAAAATCCTCTTCTATAGATCTGAAAGGCCACGTTTAGTTATATTGATATGGAAGGATCATTAGGTTGTGTAGATTCATGTTTGTTCAAATCATGATTTCCAGGGGGTAGGGAATGAAATTTTTACAAAGGAATAAATAGGAAAAAATCTGTTCAAGAACAGTAAAGCCATTGTTATTGATACATAGGCGTCGGAACCGGGGGGGGGGCACTTTTTTGCAAATATAATACATGATATAGGCATTGAAAATTGAAGTTTACCTTTTTTTTTGTTGGCTTAGCCCCCCCCCCCCTTCCAATTTGCTTCCGACGCGTATGTGATATGGAAGTATTCTCAGGTATATAGTCTAAAATTCAAGCCCTACTTTTCAATTCTAAAGATTTGTGCTTTTTTTCTAGCCAATATGCCCAGATGAGCGATGTGGCCCATGGGCCTCTTTTATTAAAAAAACAGCTGTCAATGATGTCAAACGATCTTATATATTATACTTTCGTGTAAATAAGTTGAATCTGATTGGTCGAGAAACATTTGTTAAAAAACACTATTACCCGCTGAATAATAAAGCCACGCCCTCCAGCGTAGCAACAGTCAACATTGCTTGACGACGGGTGATATTCCAAAAAATAGCGACTGCGCAGAATTTATGCGCACATGGTTCATTGTTATATGTATTTGTATAAAACATTCAGTATATTAATATAATAAATATTGTATGTAGTTAAGTGTAACATTGAAAATATTCACCCCAAGAAAACCATTTTCAACCGAGGCGCAGGTTGACAATGGTTTTCGAGGGACGAAAATTTTCAATGTTACACTCAACTACATGCAATATTTATATGATATTTAATCCTACACGAGTTAAATATAAGAACAGACCCAGGGGCCATAAAACTTAGAAGAGCTCACTTTTGATCTCAGTCTCACTTTTACGAAAGGAATTAATAGTGGAAAAGTGAGACTGAGATCAAAAGTGAGCTCATCTAATTTTTATGGCCCCCAGGCCAGATTTAAGGGACATTTATCCAAGTTATGGAATTTTGATCCCCCGCTTTCGGTGTCGAAGTGACTGGCATGTCATTATATGACATATTGCGTAAAATATTAACCACCACTCATATGTATTTCAAGAGTAATCACAAATGTTGAAATTCTTGAAAATTAGGTCAAACATGAAGGTCAAAGGGTCAAAAATACATGTAATAGATTGCTCGGAAACATCTTGTTACAAGTAATGTACGTCAAATATGAAAGCCTATCTCTTCTCAATCAAAAGTTACAAGGAAAGCGAACATTTTTGAAAAGTGTGTCAAATTTCAACATCACAGGGCCAAAAAAAAAATCAAAGTATGTTTGTCACACGTAATATACAGGGATAATATGATTATTTACTCTTTCAAAAGTTATGACCAATAAAAAGGGACATGGACACCGATTTGAAGGTAATATTTTTACAAATTTTCTGTATAATATGACTTATGTTGCTACAACATTTTACACGGAAATTTAATTAAAAACACTTAATTTATCGGGAAATTATTGAAGCTACGAATGTTGGGACGCGTTTGATTGACACATTCTTGCATTTCCATAAAGTAAGTTTAATCCTTAATACTTAATTTAAGGGAAGTAGAAATTTTGCAGTGTATTAATTAAAAATTTTAAAAACTAATAATCCAGAAAATTCAGAGTGGACATGTGAGAAAGCGAAAGTATTACAAACTTCAAGGTCAAGGGTGAAAAACCTAACTATATTTGGAAAGGTCTTGTGACAGGTATAATATACACGAGAAATATGAAAATATTTCTTCTCATTCAAAAGTTTTGACCAAAGTTGAAGTTTTTGTGACAAGCGGGTTTAATGTCCCCTCGCTTTCGCAAAAGCGGAGGACAATAAAACACCAATAATTTATCTATCTAAACCTAAATATACCTGGTATGACTTTATGAATAATTCAGAAGCAGCGATGTTTTTACATATATCTGAGATTTTTTAAAATTTGTAAAAATAAAATGCCAATTTGTGAAAAATTGAACTTGAAAAGTGCCCTTTTATTATGTAACTAAAGGGTGTATCAATAAATTTTAAGCACTCAATATTCAAGCGGAAGTACGTCATAACATAGATCTCGAGGTCATTTAAATGATTTAGAGGACTTGTTAAATAATATTAATTCCGGATTCGGAATGGATCACAGCGGCGCTTCAGAGGTGTTGTACGCGGGGTTATGTAATAAGATAGGGACACCAGAGGAAGTGAGGGTCAGGAGAGAAGTCCAACACATGTCTGAGATGATTGATCAACCTCTGCAGATTTCCCAAGGATCGAGATTTGCAGATACCGGAAGTTACGCAGAGGGTTTTCGATTTAAATCATCTGATCGAGATAAAATGTCCTGGCCATGTAATCATAAAGTGCTATGTGATATGTCTCGGTCTGCAATTCATCATTCATCCAAAGACACACTTCTTCTCATGGAGACTTCTGATACACCGGGTGGTTATGCTCGCTTGCAATTGCTTACATCCTCTAGAAACTCGATTGTGAACGCTTCACTTGCAAGTATTGACAATGTCGTTTATATTTCAAGTTCTTTGTTCAGGAGCCTGTGGTATAAAAAGCTCCGTGGAATCGATCCACATGTTGGAGAGGAGATCTTGCACGGTCCATGTTACAGTTGCAGGGTTTTTACAATTGAAAGCGACTTTACACGTTGTTTTCATTGTCCAGACTGGCCCTCTGCCGCTTTGAATTCAATTAAGAGATACAGCGTACTTCAAAACTTTCTCAAAGATGGATGCATTCTTGTTCCAATAGGAAGTAAGCAGCCAAATGATTTTGAGGATCTGGAATGGAGAATTTCTTTTGCACTCTCGGAACGAAGACTTGTATACCGTATGAACCATGTACAGTTTCTTTGCTACGGATTGTTGAAAATATTTTTGAAGGAATCCATCTGTGACGATTTGCTGAGTTCGTATTTCATGAAAACTCTCGTGTTTTGGCAGATACAGAACAATAACTCTATGCCTTGGGCTCCATATACTCTAGTTCAGCATTTCTGGATATGCTTTAAGTTTCTATTGCATTCCGTGTATATGGGATGTCTACCGAATTTCTTCATACCAGAAAACAACATGTTCCTAGGAAAAGTCGTAGGGCCACAACAGATGACCTTGTTTCAAAAGCTGGAGAAGTTATACACAATGGGTGTGACCTGTCTTCTTCAGAGTCCGTCTCTCACAGAAATCCTCATCCCGACCCTCTCTGCTCTGGAATTGAAAAGTAACATCAAGTCGGAGTTAGATATAGATTTTGCACTTTATAAAGAGATGCAAGAACCAATGCTAGATTTCCCTTGTACAGATTTTCAACAGATTAAGATATTTTTGGAAACAATTGAAACACTTTCACAATTCAGTCGCAGAACTTCTTTTCGGTTACATGCAGTTGATGTGCTTATATCAATTGGCATGTCTTTGAAATTGAAATGTGCTCTCCAGACCAAAAATAAACTTTATTATCAAATTAATAAGTTGATTATTCAAATGTTAACCCAAGTTTCACAAATGGGCTTTATTTCGGATATGCTTTATCTGGCGATGTACCTTTATGACATTGGTAGATATAAAAGAGGGTTAGTTGTCCTTAACATAGCCAAAGTGAAGCTCTCGCAACCCGTTGTTATGTATAATAGCGAAGTGGACGAGCAGATCTACTGTAGATTAATGGGAGGATATTCGCTGTCTACAAAAATGAATAATGCATGGGCAAGACATGTTACGATTAATTCATGCTTTATGTACATAGACGAATTTAAATTGGAACAAGAGGCCACCAGGAAAAGCGGAGTAGAGGTGTTCCGTGTTCCTCCTTTGGTGTTGACACACATGCTGTCTGTACTGTGTTACCATAGGCTGGGCGATAAGCCTCGGTGTCAACAGTCACTGACAGACCTACGGACCCTACTGCACTCCGACGATAGGAAAAACGTACCAAAAATTTTCAGAGAAGTATCCTGGCAGATACTAGGCATCTGTCAACAAGTTGTTGGAGAGTTACGTGAAGCGTTAGAATCTTTCCAGCAAGCACTGGAACAACCTGGATCAATCGATAGACTTATAAACAAAGGAATGCGGTCCAGAGAGATGGGGAACATTTATAAGGCTTTACAGATTACACCTATGTTTGTGGAATTTGTGAGAAAATTTCTAAGAATCAACACTATCCAGGAAGCTACACAACAGAGAATGGCTTCAGTGTGCAGTCAAATGGGTTATTAAAATGGTGTTGTGCTTGGCAAATACGAAGTAAACATAAGACTGTTTTAAAGAAGGTTATACATGTATTTGAATATTAGTAACATTGACGGAAAAAATGACTTTGAAAACGAACATTACCAACTTATTCCTGATTTAACAACCATTGTGATTTTAGGCGTTTTTATACGTTTGATAACTGGAAGGAAATTATGGTAATATGCGACGATAATCATGATCCTAATTTTTTTTTATTTCTTCCTTTTTATTAACAAATACAGAGAGATTTAGGATATCGCAATAAACGGATCTTATATAATTATTCAGTCACTGCAAAATCGCTGACGTCAAAACAGTTCACAGCGTTTGTGATTTCAACTGTTTAGGAATTATGCGTTTTGTCTTTGGAAATTTTAATGTTAAAAATCGTTTAAAACAGAAATTGTACATTACATTTGATTTTCATGTACCACCGCACACATAGATTCATCGATTCAATTCTTTCCTACCCCCGATCATGATCCCAACTTTTCGATTAACTTTTCGCGTCTAGCATCCTCATATCGTCAGGGGACCTAAGTTAGTCATTACGTAACGGCCACGTTTTGACTTGGGACCGCTGACGTTGCTGGGATGCGTCGTTTGTCGACTAAGCGCCTCTTCTCTATGTTAATCCAGTCATCCCTGAGCCTCATTTGTCGGGTATTTGTGTATTTATGTGTCATCAACAAATAAAAGAAATAAATGGCGTTGAATTTAATTTTTTTTTATTATTAGTAACATGTGAAGATGCATGATAGAACATGAAAATGGATGCTACCCCTCCCTAATATGATAAAAAAAAAATTGTCCCAGGAGGAAAATACCTCAGAAATGGTTGACCTAAATACATTTTGAAATGGATGGGTGACCAGTATCATCGATTATTAAGAATTATAACACAAATGTACCTTTACAAGTTTTTTTAACACTAAATAACAAGAAATTTAAAGTAAACAAATAATGTAGTACATTCCTATATTTGTTGCTAAAAGAAACAAAGGAAAAGTCACCAAAAAAACCTCTTAAATGTACTTTTTTACTGGTCATTATCATTCGGTGATTGAATGGTGGTACTCAACATGTTAAAAATTGTACCAATGAACAATTACTCTGTTGAACAGAATTTCATACTAGCTAAATACAATTGTGTCTAGATACTAGACACAACAAAACATTTTTCCAAACTGTCTTTCTCAGCAATAATCACTCTTGATCTCAATATGAACAATAATCTCTGGCAGGAAAAGAGATCTGCAACTTAACTTTTCTCGATCGCTTTTGTTGTCGAATACGGTAAATGTCATGTACAGGTGGGGCCGTGACCTCTGAACCCTCCTCATCACTATCCCCCTCCGTGACCTTCCGTTGTTTTCCTAAAGCGAAGTCAATAGAGAGCTGGGTCCCGGGGTCTAGCTTAAATGTGCCATCAATCATCCATGCAAGGTTGGTCCAGGTAGGGCTTTTAATGACTTAAGAGTAGTTTTGTTCCAAAACATATTCTTTCCTTTGGAATGTATGTCAGAGCCATCATCCGAAGCAAGTCTGTTAGTGTCCGATAGGTTTATGCCGACACTCATTTGAGTATTAATATTTTCTTTAGAGAAATGGACAGGCTTTTGCCTACATCCACTGAAGAGAAGTGGATGTAGGCGAAAGACTGTCCACTTCTCTAAAGAGAATAGAATATTAATGGCTATAAGATATTCTTAAGGAGCAGACATTTCAGTGTTTTCAGCCTACACACTTGGATTTCCTCTTGTGGTTATATCCTAGTATCCCAAGGGTCATGATTTCAAGAAATCGAATCTGTACTACATGATGATTTTTTAATGTCGATATGGTTAAAAACATACTGAATAATTATAATTTGTCTGGATATACAATGCATAGATTTTTTTCAAGATCTTTATATCTTGTGGCCAAAGACAGATCCTTTTGTCGTGATTTAAATAAGCATGAAGTAAGATTTTTTTCTTCAAAATATACTCCCATATGAGTCTTTTTTTTGGAATACTGTGATAACTTCACCATATTGTGCCCTAAAGTGTGGATAGCAATGATGTATTTAAAACCAAATTACTCTTTATTCAATCAAGAATTACATAAAATACTTGTATTTAAGTGGTTTAGTATTGTTAGGACAAGTGCACTGGCTACACATTTAAAATTAAAAAGAGCTTGTGGTATCTTCTTACAATGCTCTCACGTGATTTCATTGTATGAGGCGCGCCCGTATAGTAGCTTCATAGCGTGTAAAGGAAAGAAGGATGTTATAAAATTTCTTCTAATTTTTCCGTCAATTTCTATTTGCCTCAATTATCAGACGAAAAGGTTGGATACATACAGGTAAGAGAAGATTTAGTAGTGCAATCATCGATGATTTCACACATGTGCTCGGTTTTTTTCGGGGATGGGATGTTCATTGTATTTTATCTGGGGAAGATAATTTAAAAGTACGCCAATCTAAAACCGAGTCCTTATGAATGGTCTGTGTATATTTATCTTATTATGCTAATTATGGCTCAAAAAATGAAACAATATTTTTGTATTACATCACAATGAATACAATGTATTGATTTTGCATTTTCTCCCTATATTTACACTTTTTACTTTTTTTAACTGTTGTATCGTAGCCCATACCAGTACATTACCAGGCCAGCTATTCAATGTTTTTATGTGTACTTGTATTGCTTTTTAAATTGATTATAATTTGCTTAATCGTACCAAATAACATCGTTAAATCGATTTTTATTTTAAAGGAAAAGTAGACCTACTTAGGTAATACCATTTTCTATATTTATTTTACTAGGAAATGTTTTTGCTTTAGGGCCTATAGACAACAGTTTAAATATGACACATCGCATATCATTTTTTATAACGTTAGTATTCAAAAGTTTGTGGCCATGATTAAAGTTTGTTTGTTTTTTTTTTTAAAGGCCAAACCTTTTGGCATGGCTTAAAGCTGAAAATTGTCGCACTTGAAATGAAGGACTTCTTACAAAGAATACTTCTGTGAATATTCCAGTACTAATAGTTAAAAAATTAAGGCTTAGACTTAAGGTCTAGACGGTCGAAGTCAAAAGGTAAAAAATATTAATTTCCAAGGAAAGGTTTTATCACAGTGAATATTCATGACTGAGTAGAAAAAAGGTCAAACTTCCTTTTTACAAAACGCTTGACCAGAGTTAAAATTTGATAATTTTTTGCATAAGTGGGTCAATCTCCACGCTAAAGGTCAGGAGATCAATTATCTCCATAGCCAAAGAAAGGTTTTTACAAAGAATACAAATGTGAATTATTAAAACCATAGCTAGCTCCAACCAACCAAAGTATGGACAAGGTTAAAGTTTTTTGCGGACAAACAGATTAATTAACAGACAGTTAGACAGACGGATGGACCGACGGACAGGAAAAACGATATACTTACGAATCGTCCACTATGGGGGTATAAAACAATAATAATTACACTCTATATTACATTTTAGAAGAGAGCCTCAGGGCCCATATCGCTGATCTAAACAACAATAACCACAAATTCTGCTTCATATGAATATAAAAATAGGCCTGCTAATAATTGGTACCTATGGGAATTCCAATAGGTTGTTGGAATATCTGGTCTCCAAAAACCACATAGATATTGTCAATCAGAAACTCAAGCATCTTTTTGATGTCAACTTCAGAGTACTTGTTTGTGTTTTAACAAAATAATTTTGCAAATGTCCAATGTACTCAGGTAAGTAAATTTACGAGTTCCATTTTTATTGATAAAGCAGCTGTCAATGATATCAAAAAGCCTGGACTTTAATTTATCATGGGGAATAGTTGTGTATAAAGTTGAAAAGTCTTAAGTTTTAAAGCTGTTGTTTTTGGTGATTTCAAATTGTCCAAAAGTTCTTTGGAATTTTTGAGTATCCACATCTGATTCACACCACTTCTTGAATATATTGTTGCAAAGTACTCTTGAAGTTTTTCCTTCACTACTGTTAATATCTTAGTGAGGAGTAACGAAAGAGGTTTGGTTGAACATTTACTGGAACCCGCAATGTATATTTGTTTGTAAGGGTTTTTATGAAGTGTCGGAATCCAATATATATATAGGTAATTCAAATTCATTTTGGCTCTGTGGAATATTAAAAATATTTCAAAATGACCTTTGATTTTGAAGAATTTCTTCCTTAGAAAGGGAAGTATGAGTATAAGTAGGTTTACCACTTGTAGAATTAAATCCAAGTTCTTCTAAAATACAAATATTATATAATGAGCCTTACAAACGAAGACAATGTTGTTACCTGCTTTGTCGGCAGGGACCAGTACGTACTGATCAACTAATCTATCCTTTTTTTCACTTCTGGATTATTGAACACAGAAGGATAGATGGTTTTCATATTGCCCCTCAAATCTTTTAATACGCAACTTTAACATAGATCTGATACATTTAATCCATTCTGACAAGGTGTCAACGTCATCTGGCCCATCGTCTAGCGTAATTTTAAACAGAATCCATAACATTTATGAAATTTCGACACCAGTTGAAGGGTCTCAAAGTATATTTACTCACATATCTTCTATATTTAAAAATTAAGCGTTTTAAAGATCATATTTTTCTTTCTTCATTTTAGTTGTACACTTTGAAATAGCAAAAGTAAACTGATTTTGAAATCTAGCACGGACTATATTTTTGGCTGAATGGTAGCGTATTTTAGGCTTCTTTTTACTACAAAACAATGAATGTTGTATTGCAAGCATTTTTTAAAATAAAGGCTTAAGGTAACTTTTGAAGTAGCTGAAATTAATAATAATGGAAGTTTTAAAATATATAAAATGAATATGATTTTGTAGACAAATGGCAATCTTAGCGCTTCATGATAAATTTCCCGGCGTGAAGCGTTGCAGTTCATATACCTCATATTCATTTCTTATATTAACATTATTTTGCTGATGAGTTGCCACAAATAACGTCATTCAACTGTCATTTTTAAAGCAAACAATTTGCACTATAGTTTTTTTTTGGTAAAGTACAGTATTATGATATAACTTTGGAGATAATCTCCACGTTTATCCATGGTAGTTCATGAAAAAATGAACAATTTTCTTATTTGCAAACTTTAAGAATCTTAAGAAAAAATAGTTGAAATTGTAAATCTTGTAATTTTTTCTTCTTTACCTCATAAAGGACCCATGCGTAATCATTAAAATGATCAGGTGTCATTTTTCGACGTAAAATTGTCCTAAGTCATTATCTGAAAAAATCTTGACTCTTGATTACAAACCTGATTTATTGTAGAATCAGAATGGAAAACAATGGCGTTTCAGAGGTCTTGTACACCGGTTTATGTTATGAGATAGGAACACCAGAAGACGTCAGCGTGAGGAGAGAGGTCTTAGATGTATCAGAAATGATAGAAAAACCTGTGCAGATTTTGAAAGGAATGAGAACCACAACCGGTGGAAGTTACAGAGAAGGGTTTAGATTTAAATCATCTGACAGAGATTACATGTCCTGGAGATGTGATCATAAAGTGCTGTGTGATATGTCTCAGTATGCTATTTACCATTCATCCAAAGACACACTTATTCTCATGGATACTTCTAATACACCGGGTGGTTATGCTCGCTTGCAATTGCTTACACCCTCTAGAAACCCGATTGTCAATTCTTCGCTTTCAAGAATTAACGATGTGAATTACATATCAAGTTCCTTGTTCAGGGGCTGGTGGCATCACCATTTACAAGGGACAGACCCTGCTAGAAAAACAGAAGTTTTGCACGGTCCATGTTACAGTTTCTCCTTCTCCTTAATAGAAACAGACTTGGCAAATTGTCTTCACTGTTCGGAATGGCCCTCTGCTGCTTTGAATTCAATCAATAGATACAGCGTGCTACAGGAATTTCTTAGTGAAGGATGTCACCTTGTTCCAATAGAAAGTAAGCTGCCAAACGATTTTGAGGATCTGGAATGGAGAATTTCTTTTGCACTCGCAGAACGAAAACTTGTTTACAATATGGACCATGTGCAGTTTCTTTGCTACGGATTATTGAAAATATTTCTGAAAGAAACAATTTGTGACGAATTGTTGAGTTCGTATTTCATGAAAAGCCTTGTGTTTTGGAAGCTAATGGACAATTACTCAATGCCCTGGGCTCCGTATGATTTACTTCAGTATTTTTGGACATGCTTTAAATTCTTAATACATTCTGTTCACACAGGATGTCTACCAAATTTCTTTATACCAGAAAACAACATGTTTCTCGGAAAAGTTACAGGACCACAGCAGATGTCTTTGTTTGAAAAGTTAGAAAAAATATACAATGTGGGTGTGACCTGCCTTCTTCAGAGTCCATCTCTCAGAAAGATCCTTATTCCAACCCTCTCTGCTTTGTACCTTGAAAGGCATGTCAAATCAGAATTAGAGAAAGACATTGCTCTTCAGAAAGAAATGAAGAAATCAAAGCTAGATTTTAAATGTAGAAATTTACAGGAGATGAAAATTTATTTGGAAACAACTACAAATCTTTCAATCTTTAATCACAGTGCTAATTTTCAAAAAGCCAAGACAGAAGTGCTTACATCAATTGGCATGTCATTAAAATCGAAATGTTTATTCAGGAACAAAAATAAACTATTCTACCAAAGTCACAAGCTGGTATCGTACATCCTTACTGTAGTTTCAAAAATTGGTTTTGCATCGGACATACTTTACCTAGCATTATATTTATATGACATTGGTCAATATCCAAAAGCATCCATTGTCCTAGAAAAGGCCAGACAGAGACTCTCACGACCCCATGTCATGTATAATGGTGAAGTAGACGAGCAGACGTATTGTAAATTAGTGGCAGGGCTGTCCCTTTCATCAAAAATGAAAAATGCTTGGGCAAGAAATGTCAAGTTGTACTCACACTTTACCTACATAGATGAACTAAAATTAGAGCAGTGGGCCAGTCAGAAAAATGGTGTAGACATCCTTCATCTCCCTCCTTTAGTGTTGACACACATGTTGTCTGTACTTTGTCTCCACAGATTGGGTGATAAGCCTCGGTGTCAACAGTCACTGACAGACCTACGGACCCTACTCCACACTGATGACGAGAAAAATATTCCTAAGACTCTCAGAGACATATCCTGGCAGATGCTTGGGATTTGTCAACATGATATAGGGGACTTACATGGGGCATTGCATTCTTACCAGCAAGCACTTAAACAATGTCAGCAGCTTGACGAAATGATGAATGTCGGATTTTTGACTGCAGTTATGGGGAACTCACTTGAGCCTCGGATGTTACAACTTTTAACGTCCATTAGGGACATTAAGATATTTAAAAGAGTACAGGAAGCTACAGAGATGAGAATAAATTCACTACAACAGAGGATGAGTATTTAAACTCATAAATTTGTTCAAAATTCTTAAATTATTAAATTTCCAAGAACCTGTATGGCATGAGTGTCAAGCAATCAAAAATGGCGAAAGTATCAAACTATACATCCATAATCTATCTCAAATTTTCTGTCAACAATAAATCCTGAATACCGCAAAAATGGACCCCTAGAAACACCAAGGGTTAGATCAGATAACTAGAGGTCAACATTACCTGTCGACTAGACACACCTAGTATGAGAAATCAAGTGGACGGGGATCGATGGTCAAAATAAATATAAAAAACATTGGCAAAAAACGTTGTCAAAAATCAATGTTAGTTATCCTGGTCTCTTTCATTGCTCACTTCATGGATTTAAGCATGTCAGTCAAAAAATCTACACAAAGATACGCTGTATTGCAAACAGGATTTTTATCTTAAGAAAATCAAAATAAAAACTACTGACATTTTTAATTTCTGTGCCCAGGAAAAAACTGTACTGCATGTATTTGTTGTGATCATATTGTATGTTTATTAAGGACTTGAGTTTACATATATAGAGAACAATTTCAAAATTAAGAGTTGGTTGGATTCAATGTCAGAAATATCATCTTAGGTGAATTACCACTTACACAGGACAACAGAATTGAAAACTTTAGGATATTATATATACACAAAATAATATATTTTTCATGTTTATTACAACCAAAAAAATCCTTCATTTACTGGTTTATTAAGCTTTTTGAAAATGAAATATAATATTGAAAGACGTTTTATTTTGAAGAACAATGGACTTTCCGGAAAAAAATATTTTGAACAAATGTTAGATTTTGTGACAGGTTTTTGCTATTAAGTTTATATGATATATTTTCGATAAGCAGATTATTATGAAGCAACCTCCATTTAAAATGCAAATGAATGTATGGATAGGTGTGTGAGAGCTGAAAGCTGAACACGATTCGTAAAACGAATGTGTCCTCCATTTTTGTTCGGATTCTCGCTATATCTGAAGACTTCTATATATAGAACTTTAATATCCATTGTAATTTTGCTGTTAATTTAATTTGATTTTGTATGTAAAACAATGGATATATCAAAAAATGTTTTGAAAATGATTAGTTATTTAAACTATATATAAAAAGTCATGGTGACCTCTTTTATGTTGATTCTCATCGTGGCATCAACAAACATAAAGTGATTGATTTTAATGAAAATCAAAATATGCAATATTTGATCTTTTCCATTTGTATTGTATAACTTTCCTTTTGTGTTGAATAATTTTTTGTACTTTTATTTGATAATATTCCATTTGTGTTGTGTATTTTTTTTTATTGGTATCGTATAATTTTCAATTTGTATCGTATATAATGTTTTTTGCATGGTATGAAATGCGAGGAATATTTGAAAATAAACACGTAGGCAATGTTCATCACCATCATATCATTTTTTACAAAGTTAAAGATCAACCCATTTTTATACGTAAAATCATTTATATTATCGATGTGTGAAGTTTGATTTAATGGAACTCATGTTAGCCAATTTTAAAAGTAACATGTTTTATCACCACGATTAACATTGTAGCGTTTCACTCGGTGAGTGATTGAAATTTTTACAGTTTACCATTACAACAGTTACTGAAGAATGTATATCATAAATTAACCATGCAGTAAAATATCTAACACTTGGCAAGTGTTTTTGCACATTTTAAATTTAATTCTGATTGATTAATTATGTTAGCATTACTTTAGTAATTTATAACAAAAAAGAAAAGATTATGCATGGCCTGAGGAACCAGGAGGAGGGGGTATGCCCCCCCCCCAAAAAAAAATATAGCCGATATTAAACTATAATATGACCTAATGAAATTAAATCCCCCAACTTAGATTGTATCTACGGGCCTAACTTGAAAAAGTTGGTCATGATCAGTCACATAACTGTATCCCAAATGGTAAAGTTTAATTTGAATTTTGTTTCATTTTAATTTGTTGGAATGTATTCACGGTATGTATGTAACCAAAGTCACTCACTACTGTCACAAGCTAAAATCATTATAACTGATAGTCGGGTAAATAAAATGTTTTGTATAGTAGATATCTTTATTTACTATCTAATATAATACCTGCTGTTTACATGAAAAATTATGAATTTATGAAAACCACCACTATATGAAATATTTGTAAAATGGAACGACCTTTGTTATGGCGTCCGTAAAAAAAATGAAAAAGGGGCAGGGGGTCAATTGTGGTATTATGATACATTTATCTGCATTTGATTGTACTTCCACTATGCCCATTAGTTTGGCATTTTAATGTTCTGTACTTAATATATTTTAGTTTAGGAGAGGGGATTACCTTGGAAGTATTGTGATACAGACAAGTGTATTATGTAGTGGACTAGTGGTAACTGAATTGTATATATACCACAGTAAAATAATTAATTACAAAAAATAAATTTCTGCTAATGTCATCCAGTGTTTACTAATAAAAGAAAATTCCTAAAAAAAAAACAAAAAAACAAAAAAAAAAAAAAAAAAAAAAAAAACATTGTAGCGTCAAAAACAAAGTCGAGAAAGTTTTCAAACATACTCTGTCTTTTCATGTCAGTTTTGAATATTTTTAATATCCCACAGAACCAAATGAAATGAATTTGAACTACCATATCTATATTGGATTCCGAAGCTTCATAGAAAATACATAGCGGGTTCCAGTAAATGTTCAACCAAGGCTCTTTCTTTACTCCTCACTAAGATATTAACAGTGGTGAAGGAGAAACTTCAAGAGGACCGTGCTCTTTCTTTACTCCTCACTAAGATATTAACAGTGGTGAAGGAGAAACTTCAAGAGGACCGTGCAGCAACATATTGAAGAAGTGGTGTATATCAGATATGGATACTTAAACATTCAAAGGAACTCTTGGGCAATTTGAAATCACAACATTTTACCAAAATCAATGGCTTAAAAACTTTTCAACTGTATACACATTCCCCACTATAAATTAAAGTCCAGGCTTTCTGATATCATTGATAGCTGCTTTTTTCAAATAAAAATGGAACTTGTAAATTTATTAACCTTGTCATTGGTCATTTGTAAAATTATTTTGTTAAAAAACATTCTAATTGTACACACAAGTTCTCTGAAGTTGACATCTAAAAGATGCTTGAGTTTCTGATAGACACTATCTGTGTGGTTTTGGGAGACCAGCTTTTCCAACAATCTTTTGGAATCCCCATGGGAACCAATTGCGCTCCGTTATTAGCAGACCTATTTTGTATTCATATGAAGCTTAATTTGTTCAAAAATTTATACGTTAAAGTAAGAAAGCACTTGTTGTGGCCTTAAACTCGACATTTATACCGTGGTATATACACACTGTATATGCACGATGTATTGTCAATTGACTATGGTGATTTCCATTTTAATGTCGATACTGTATATACCGATGAGCTTGAGATAAAGATACCACAGAGTATGACACATCTGTTTCATATTTGGATATTTATGCGAAAAAGACGTTAATGGTAATCTAACAACCAAGCACTATGATAAACTTGATGACTAACTTTTCAATCGTCAACTTCCCTTACTTATGCAGCATTTACTTATGCAGCATTATACCTTCAATCACCTGCATTTTATAACTCAGTTGATTAGATACGCAAGAGAAAGCTCTACGTATTTAAAATTTCTAAAACGTGGTAAATTATTGCCAAACAAGTTGATGAAACAAGAATATCAGCAGTCTCGTTTTAATTCATCATTTCGTAAGTTCTATGGTCGATACAATGACCTTGTCAGCAAATTTATCGTTGAGTCCAATGGTGACTTACGTTTTTCATACTCTTTGTTAGGCCATTATATACACTGAATTGACAACGGAATTTTCCGTAATTTCCCAATCAGGACAAGGAGCACACGGTGGGTGTGACGGGTCTGTTCATTTCTTCATGGCACCTGATCCAACCTTTGATGTTATGGAGGTCCGTGTTTGCTCTGCTACTATTTTGTATTGTTTTATGGACTTTTGAACTTGATTACTGTTCGATATCTCAATATATTTCTCTTTCCCCATGGCTGAGCAATCACAGAGCATATTACAATATCACAGGTAGTTTCAAGTAGAAGAACAATGAGGCTTTCACATTTTAATTTTTTACCTTTGGACCAAGCAGAGGGTTAAAAAAGATGTTACCCTTCCAAAGTCTGCTTCCGAAAATTCATTGTAAATTGTATTCGGCAGATAAAAATCACGTTTTGGAATATAATAAATGTTCAATGAAACATATGGAGAGAAGGAACAGTATTCAAGATCAAAGGTCCATAAAACAATACAAAATAGGAGCAGAGCAAACACGGACCTTCGAAACACCAGAGGTGGGATCAGATGCCAAATAACGGAAAAATCCGTTGTCAGTTCAGTGTATAAACAATGCACTAACAATAATGTTATGTAATAAAGTTATGATATTTTTATCCTTGGTACCAATTGGGGTTGAAAAAAAAACAATGTCTTCTGTACAAATTTGGTTCTCAAAACTTATTCATTTATTTATTTATTTTATTTATTTATTTTTTGCAGTAGCCAAATCATGTTTTGAATATACATGTACATGTTATTTGTAATGTCAAGGCAACTTTCATATCCTCTCTTGAAATCAATGGAGTTAGTAAATACATGTTTGTTTCTTCAAAAACATGGTTCCGCTAACGCTTCTATTATTTTATGCAGTACCCAAATACTTTTTTTGGAATATGATTGTTGGCTTGAAGTTTTTTATTTTCATGCAGGAGATGACTTTGTGTCATAATTTCTTTTTTTTTTAATTAAAAAAATCAAAAGGTCCCTTTAAACAGATTAAATAAATGTTTTTTTCATTTTGAAGAATTAATACCAATTTGTAATCTTTGTAATCTTTAAACATTGTTTACTCATATTTTTCTTTTCGAAAGCTGTTTCAATATAAAAGATCTTGATTCTTTCTGTGATATCTTATTACACCCAATTCTATAACATAACATCATAGGTCAAACGAGCGTCACTGTGTGCAAAAAGAAAAGTAGAGGGTTTGGGGGGGGGGGTTTCCTTTTATTCCAAATATATATTTCTAGGTATTCACGCCTTTGACCTCACTTATCAGAGGATCATATTTAAGAGGAAAAGGTAGGGCCATGATTTGAAATAATCAAGAACCTGTAATTTTTACTCTTTGTCCTTATTAATATCCTAGTAGTGTGGTTAATGTTTCAATGAGCACTCTGAATTGCATTCATCTCAATAATGAAACTAATCTCCGTGGGTGATCTGACCAACAGTGTAAATTTGCTTCCGATTTTTTTTTTAGCGTTTGCTCCATTAACGAGATATTTGAACACGTTTAAACTGCATATATTTTCCATTTTTATGGCTGTTCGTAATGTTTAAGATGATAGAGTTTTTTTCCGGTATTTACAAATGTATTCAATTTACTGATATAACTGCATGTTGTCTACTAATCCAGATAAAGGTTATCCTGATCTTCATACGTGTAATACAAATATGTACTTCTACAAGTACATGTATACAAGTGTTCCTTTGGCAATTTTTGTCCATCTTCAAAAGCTTTACACATTTACTGAATTTATAAAGCTTCTGAAGATAGAATGAATTAAATTAATTAAATGCCTAAAGATTTACTGAGGTTTTTCTTGTTTTTTATTTTAATCTATCTTTCTATCTATCGATCGATTGGTCTATCTATACAAATACAATTGTATTTTTAAAGGAAATCCCGCCTTCTTGATTTCAGAATCACAATGGATCACAGTGGTGTTACAGAGGTCTTGTAACAGTGTAAAACGAATTATGTTTTAAGATAGGTACACCAACAGAAGTAATAGTGAGGAGAGAAGTCATAGACATACCAGAGATGATAGAAAAACCAGTGCAGGTTTTTGAAGGTACGAGAGTATCGATCGGCGGAAGTTACAGGGAAGGATTTAGATTAAAGACATCTGACGAAGATAGAATGTCGTAGCCATGTGATCACCAAGTACTCTGCGATATGTCTCAGTCTGTGATTCAATTTACTCCCACAGATACGCTCATGTTCATGGATGCATCTGATACACCTGGTGGTTATGCTAGGTTACAATTAATACGACCCACTGTAAACTTAAAAACTAATCTTTCACTAAAAAGAGTTGACAGTGTCGCGTATTTATCAAGCTCTTTGTTCAGGAGCTTTTTGTATGAATTGTTACGCGGATTCGAACCACATGCAGGAGAGGAGACTTTGCACGGTTCATGTTACAGTTACACGGTGTTCGTTAATGAAAATGACTTTGCATCGTGTTTTTATTCCCCAGAATGGCCCTCTGCTGCTTTGAATTCAATCAATAGATACAGCGTTCTAAAGGAATTTCTTAGTGAAGGATGTCATCTTGTTCCTATAGAAAGTAAACAGCCAAACGATTTTCAGGATCTAGAATGGAGAATTTCTTTTGCTCAAGCAGAACGAAAACTGGTATATAATATGAACCATGTGCAATTTCTTTGCTACGGATTGTTGAAAATGTTTCTGAAAGAGATCATTTGTGAAGAGTTGCTGTGTTCGTATTTCATGAAAACTCTTGTATTTTGGCAGTTACAGAACAATAACTCTAAGCCTTGGGCTCCGTATACTCTATTTCAGCATTTCTGGATGTGCTTTAACTTTCTAATTCAATCTGTGCCTACAGGATATCTACCAAATTTCTTCATACCAGAAAACAACATGTTCCTAGGAAAAGTTGTAGGGTCACAACAGCTATCTTTGTTTCAGAAGCTAGACAGCTTATATACAATGGGCGTGACCTGCCTTCTTCAGAGTCCATCTCTCAGAGAGATCCTTATTCCGAACCTTTCTGACCTTTATCTTGAAAGTCACGTCAAGTCAGAATTACACATAGACATTGCTCTTCAGAGAGAGATGAAGAAATCAATTCTTTATTTCATTTGTAAAGATTTTAAGAAGATTAAGATATATTTGGAATCAATTGAAAATCTTTCAAAATTGAATCGCAGCACTGCTTTTCAGTTAAATGTAGCAAATGTCCTAATATCAATAGGCATGTCATTAAAATTGAAATATGCGCTCAGGACCAAGAATAAACTTTATTATTATTTTTCTTTATTGTTCCAACTATCTGATTGGCTCAAACTGGATCACATGATCAAGTATAAAAAGTGTTACAGACTGGATGTTTCTATTTTAGAAATTTATAAACCTGCTGTTTCTAAAATTGGAAACGTTTTTCTGTGGAGCAACAATAGTGCTGACGTCACAATAGTCTTTATAGACTGGATGTTTCTAAAAACAGATACTGCAGCTGGTTTTCATTACTGTGACGTCATAACGCAATGACATAACAATGCCTTGTATGAGAAGGTACTGAGTATTATAAAAAGGATTTTAAGACATTTGTTATTAAGTAATAAAAAATAATAAAACAATTATCAAATTAGTAGGTCAATAATTCAAATGTTAACCCAAGTTTCAAAAATAGGGTTTATTTCGGATATACTTTATCTGGCGATGTACTTGTATGACATTGGTAGATATAAAAGGGCGTTGGTTGTCCTTAACAAAGCCAAAGTGAAGCTCTTGCAACCTTATGTGATGTACAATGGTAAAGTAGACAAGCAGATGTACTGCATGTTAAGTGGAGGTCAATCGCTGAGAACAAAACTAAGAAACACATGGGCAAGGGATATTATGATCAAGTCATGTTTTATGTATATAGATGAATTAAATTTGGAACAATGGGCCACGCAGAAAAGCGGAATAGATATGTTTTATGTTCCTCCTCTTGTTTTGATGTTCATGTTGTCTATTTTGTGTCACCACAGAATGGGTAAAAGAACCCCGTGTCTACAGTCACTGACAGACCTACACAGCCTACTTCTCTCTGATGATACGATAAATATACCAGACAGTCTCCGAGAAGTATCCTGGCAGATACTAGGTATCTGTCAGCAAGTTGTAGGAGAGCTACGTGATGCGTTAGAATCTTTCCAGCAAGCACTGGGACAAGTTGGAGCACTCGATGAACTAATTAATACTGGAATAAGGGCCGGAGTTATGGAGGACATTTATAAGATTTTACAGATTTCACCCGAATATATAGAGTCAATGAGGAAAATTTAAAAACCAACACTATCCAGGAAGCTACACAACTGAGAATGGCTTCAGTGCGAAATCAAATGGGTTATTAAAGTAATAAATATAGTGCTGTGTTCTTCATATTCGAAACAAGCAAAAGACTTTATTATAGAAGATTTCAGTGTGCAAACAAATGGGTTATTAATGTGTTAAAATGATGTATTCAGCGAATCCAAGAGCATAAGACTTTATGAAAGAAGGTCACATTTGAAAAATATTGACTGAAACAAAATGACTTTGAAAACACTACCTCAATGATCAATGCCAACTTATTCATGATTTAGCAATCATTTTAATTTTAGGCGAATTATTCCTTTGATTACTGGGGGGGGGGGGGTGTGATGGAAATATGCGACGATAATAACGATCCTATTCTTTTATCTCTTCCTTTTTATCGAATACGGAAGGAATTAAAATAAAACAATAAAAAGACCTTATATAAACTAGTTTTCAGTCGACGTCAGAACACCACCGCACACAGATTCATCCATTCAATTCTTCGAATCGACACTTTCCTACCCCCGATCATGACCCCATCTTTTCGATAAGTTGAACGGTGGTCTCCGTGTCTAACGTTCTCATAACGTCAGGGGTCCTGAGAGAGTCATTATGTAACGGCAAAGTGTTTACTCGAGACCGCTGACGTTGTGGGAATGGGTCGTTTGTCTACTAAGCACCTCTTTTATATGCTAATCCAATTATTTCTGAGCCTCATTTGTCAGTTAATATAAACCAGTGTTCGATATCTTTGTTTCCTTCCATTGTTTTGCATGGAGAAGAATCTACTCCGCTTAGGACCATACGATACGTTCCCCGAATTTTGTATCTTTCGTAATATATGAAAATATTCAAAATTGTAATACAAGTACCCTTGTGGCTTTCGAAACTGTTTTCTAATTGTTTTTTAAAACAAAATCAGTAAAAAATTGTGATAGGAAATTTTAATTATTTTTAAAAAGCTTATGAAGGAAACACCTCTTGCACAAATACCTGATGAGGTACCTCGATTTTGTTCAAGAAGCAATACTTCTAAAGTTCAATGACAAAATCGCCTTCACGATAGCTCAGTAGGCAGAGCGGAAGGTCGTGAGCTCGAATCCCCACCGCGACTGACCCAAGTCGATTAAAAAAATAAATACATGTAGCAACTGTTCTTTCGCCATGCGCTCGGCACTTTAGAAGTGAAAGTTGCGGATGAGACCTTAAAAACCGAGGTCCTGTGGTGTTAGCACTTAAAGATCCCTGACTGCCCAATGGTCCTCAGTGCAGAGGAAATCTGAGGCCTTCCGCCAGTATATGGTGACGTCTCTATATGAGTGAAAAATCCTTGGATCGATTTGACGTAAAACAACAATCAATCAATCAATCAATGACAAAATCTAGAGGAAAATTATATATTAACGAGGAACGTATCGCCTGATTTTAACAAAGTTCTGAATTATTTGGTGCGCCGCATCGTCGACACATTCAAAGAATTTTCGCACACAAGAACCCCATATCATAAGAACTATTGCTTTCATCGATGTAACATTATATCCCTGCTTATTTGGGAAATGAACAAAACATCACTGACAATGATTTTCTGTGGAAAAAGTTGCGGTGCGACGACCATCGACATTGAACAACCCCTTCTTTACCGGTCTCATGAGCATTTGACATTACAAACTCGTACTGTGTCAAATAATGAAACATCATTTCCCAACAGTGTGAAAAATAAAAATAATATTGCAATATTTAAAAGTTCACTTCTGGGACAACTCTCGTATACTAATAGTTTAGAGTTCCTGATATGAATTGAACATTCATCTTTTCTCTGTTCACTCTGTCTCACATAAATTCTGATTAATGGCTGAATGATTTTCTGAAAGAAATATAATTTCTCCCACAAAAAACCCAATTTCAACTTATTTTGTGAGACAAAATATGACAAAAATGGCCTTCAAACTTGACTTTATTTTAGAAATCAATAAAAGCCATTTGTCTATGTGAGAGTTACCTCTCTTATCTTGGGGTCAATGAACTTTAATCCAGATTACTGAACAATGTCATAAATAGTCGCTTGTAATATTTGATGATGTCTATGAATTCTTTATTTATCAGCTTTTGCAATTCATGCATTAAAAATAGAGAAAGTCATATTTTCATCTTAACTCACATTGTCTTAAAGCACTTGTCTACTTATATATCATCAGCAAATAAAGAAATAAATGGTTTAGAATTAATTTTTTATTACTAGTAACATGTAAAGATGCATGATAGACATGAAAATGGATGCTACCCCTCCCTAAGAGATGATAAAACCCAACAGGAAAATACCTTTCAAATGCTTGACCTGAATACTTTTTGAAATTCGTATTCCAAGTTTCTTTTTTTTGACAACATTGATCCTCCATTCATGGGCGATCAATTATTTTACAATGCAACCTGTACCTTAACATGATATGTTTATACTAAATTACGAGAAATTTCCAAATTTAAACTGAATAAATAATACATTCCTAATTGTTGATAAAAAGGAAAAGTCACAAAAAATCTTATATAAGCCTCATAAAATGCACTTCTTCCTGATCATTATTATTCATTGACTGAATGTTGGTTTGGTACTTGAAATGTGACAAACTGTACCATTTAACAATAATTCTGTTAAACAGAATTTTACATTAGTTAAAAACAATTGTGTCCAGAAACTAGACACAGCAGAACATTTTTCCAAACAGTGTCTTTCTCAGCAATGATCACTTGGTCTCAATATGAACAATAATCTCTGGCAGGAAGAGAGATTTTCAACTTTACTTTGCTCGCTTTTGTTGTCGACTACGGTAAATGTCATGTACAGGTGGGGCCGTGACCTCTGACCCCTCCTCATCACTATCCTCCCCCTCCGTGACCTTTCGCTTCCTCCCTAAAGCAAAGTCAATGGAGAGCTGAGTCCCAGGGTCTAATTTGAATGTGCCATCAATTCCATTTTCTGTCCCAACAGGAGCTACAACAAAAATTCGACCAAAATCAAGTAACAGTCAGAGGTTCTGTCAAAACTTTATTTCAGTTGATTCTATGCCTGAATTGTTTGACTAGACAGTTAACTATAGATAGACAAAGGTAACATTTCTCCTCCTCTCTCTCTCTCACACACGCAATATACTATTCAGTATTGTGTTAAAAAACTCTTCTACAAGTATTATCCGTTTCCTTTCCTAAATCAATCACTGAGAAGGCCAACAAGTAACTACATGTATATGTACATCTATAAGAAAACATTCTTCCCTCACACTCCTCTCTCTTTATTTCTTGCAGTATATAACTTACATATAAAAAAATATAAAGATATATACCTTCAGGTAGTACCAGCTTGTTAAAATGCTCTATAAACTTATCCATAAGAACAAATGGACCCTGAAAATTTAATTTATATTGCATTACAAATAAATCATTAAAAAAAGAAATTTCTTCTCAATAACCAGATTCATATAATTTCAAATCCTTCATTTTTCAAAAGAAATATAAATTGATATGATACTTACATGAAAACAGTCAGGGGGAGGTAACTGTGATATGAGACTAGCAGCGGCAGGTGGGGGTGGGAATTCCCCTCCAGGAACAGGGTGGGCTCCAACAGCTGTCAAAATAAACAATTGTTATCACAACAGCTAACTCTTAGTTTTTTCTTTGTTTAGCATCCACTCTAAATTCAAAAACTTATCCTGCAAAAACACAATCTAAAAGGGACAATTCTAGAATTTCTCATCATCATTTCAGAATTTCCCTCATATTGTAACTACTGTAAATCACTTTTTATTTGTGAGAACTTTTTTTTGCATAACTATGCGAGACAGTGAGCTCAATAAAATTTCATTCTCACTTATAATAGTATTCCTTAAGATTATATAGAGAAACAACAACAATTCGTGAAACTTATGTCTCGCTAATAAAGAATCAATGACTGTCTCGTGAAAATAACGTGTCGCAAAAATTTAGTGATCTACAGTAAGTTGAATAACTAATTCAATGAAAAAAAAATTGGTTCACCACCAAAAGAGATTTTGATCCCCAAAGAGTTAATTGCATTTCAAAGATTTGTATTTGTTGATTTGAGTTTGTGTTTAATAACAACCTCAAAAGCAATCAGTCTGCCAGAACATACCCACAATCTGCCTGGGTTTGCTGTGCTTGCCCAAACTATTCCTGGTTTCAGTAACTTACCCACAATTTGCCTGGGTTTGAAGGCTATCATCTGCTCTACGTCTGGTTTGGGATACTGGGGTTTATTTTTATTCTCCTCATCTTCCAGAACAACTTTAGTGACCGATGCTGAGGGAAGAGTTACCACCTGCTGTCTAGCTAAATCCTAAAGTGAGTTGTAATAAGTAAGTATGCATCAATTAAAATTGAAAAGTAAAATTCTTTACCTTTCTTTAATGAAATTGCATACTTACAAAGTATCCGACTGCCTTCAGCTCAGTTGTGGTACAAGGGTAAAGATCTAGGTACTTATATCTATCTATTAATAAAGCTGTATCCTTCCCCTCAAATTCTTGAACCTGCAAACAATAAAATAAAAAAATTCTTTCAGTCATTAGATTTTAAAAAAAAGTTTTTAGAAAAAATCACCATTCAGCTAACTTGTGACACATAATATACAGGGGTACTTGTTTTAATTTCAATCTTCTACTTTGTATATATAACAAGCAACAGGAAAAGTTCTTTTTGAGCAAGTCATGACAAGCACCTGTTCTGAGTAAAATGACACACTCACCTTTTCAATGGCTTGAGCTCGCCTTTTCTCTACTTTCTGTATACTAGCCAGGTCGCCCACCTCGGACTCAAAAGCCAGAAATCTACTCCAGATCTCGATCGATTTCTCAGGGGGCACCTGTCCTGAGGATAGAACTCGCTCATACAGGACTCGAGTGTTGTTATCCTCTACAAAATAAATACAGTCCTGTGTTCAATGTTAGCTGTTTATTGTGAAAGTAATAACTCCTATAAAACAGGGTTAACAGTGCATAATGCTCACCCGGGTCTTTCTCTATTTATTTTATTTTCCTTAACCTTAATTCTCTCCGTGCCAGGAGGCACACAAGGCCTGTTTATTTTATTTTAATACGTATAATATTCCATCCCACCACTTGACCTAACAGATTATGCCTTGCACAAAATCTTATTTAATGTGCAAATATTTACACTGAATATTTTTTGCAAAAAAGGGTTATTTGAACATTGCAGAAATCTTTTTTTTTTTTTTTTCAAATGAGCTTTTTTTTGCTATATATCCCAAGCCCATGAGAATTACTTATTTCACATTTCAGACAGTTATCACTTAAACCTTAATTTTGTCCTACATATAAAGTCATGTAACATGCATGTTTTATGCAACCCTTCTAATACAAATAAGTTTGTAATACTACTCTTCTAATAAAATCAATTAAATTGAAAGTGAAAGGGGCAAACAGATGATTAGGGATATTCATATTTACCCCTCTCACCCAAAATTGGGGGTGGGGGGGTTAATTATATTTTATATTGAAATCCCCTCTCTCTAAAATCCTTTCAACACTTGTATGAATTTTCAATGCCTGATAAAATTACCATTCAGATGGGACATAAAATCCATGTAACACAATAAATATTCTGGGATTCCTCCATACTTCTTCAACCCAAGCTCAAATATCTTCAGTGCTACTGTCTTTTCCTGAAATCAATTTATAAGTAAATTAATTATAACAATTTCATCTATTCTTGCATATCTCTTAAACCTAAAAAATCTTTACATAATTAAATAGGAACAATTTTAAAATACATGTATGTATCTTCATATTTATTTGCATCATGTCATTAAAAATCAAAGTTCATATGCCACTAGAACACAATCCCCTAACAATGCCTACCTTACTGCAATAATATTCCATTAACGCTGCAGCTACAAAAACCTGGTATCGAGTTCGATTTTCCTCACGAGCCATTTTAAAAATCTGTCTGGCTGACTTTATACCCTCAGCTCTCCTGGCAAATTTCATATACTGTATAAACGCCTAAAAGGAAAAAAACATTTGACACTTATTGAATCTTACGATAACGATAATCTCTAATACAAGTTCAGTGAAACTTGTCTAACCAGATATGCACTGTGACAAAAAATTTGAAAAGACAGGATGCTGTATTGCAGAGTATTAACAAGAGATGTTTATAAAGCACTTATGCCCCCTCCCCCCCAAACTGGAATTTTTCCAAGTCCAAAAGGGCAAAAACAGCGCAATTGTACCCAAAACAGAACTTAATTGACCAAGATATTCATCTGATAAATCTGTACACTAAATTTCATTTCTGTATATGCAACAGTTGCAAAGAAAATGAACGGAAACTACAAATACTTGGAATATTTCTAAGTCCAAGGGGCATTACTCTGTCAAAAATTGTGCGATCTTACCCAAAACAGAATCTGGCCTAGATATTCATCTAATATATATGTATACCAAATTTCATTTTAGTATGTGCAACGGTTGCAAAGAAAATGAACGGAAACTGTAAATAATTGGAATTTTTCTAAGTCCAAGGGGCATTACTCTGTCAAAAATTGTGCGATCGTACCCAAAACACAACCTAGCCTAGATATTCATCTGATATGTATGTATACCAAATTTCATTTTAGTATGTGCAATGGTTGTGAAGAAAATGAACTGAAACTAAATGGACCAACAGGCTGACCGACATACCAACAGACAGAAAGCAATATGCCCTCCTTTCTTCGAAGGGGGGAATAAGAATACAGACAAAAGTTAAGGTGGAAATTCAAATAAAAGAAGAAATCCAGTGAAACTGACTGAACAGATGTCGGATATAATTGTTACCTGCATGAACAGGGGTATTTATTGAGGACTAGGGAGTGGAACTACAATATCCATATTGATATAAAACCTTTACTTTTATATGTCTACAAGATATACAAGATATTTTATTTACCAATCAAGGGCCCCGAGGGGCATTTCAACATACACAAATGTACAATTTAAACATTCTTTTCTTTTTTTTAACAACATATTTTTTTTTTTTTTTAACAGTTATATAATTGACCAAGTTACATAATAATATTGTTCTCAGTGTCAATGATCATACATAATACAAGTGTCCAGAAGAAAACAATACAAAAACGTGATGCTATACATGTATAAATTTAAATGGCTTAGCATGCATAAACATGAAGCTATTCCAAGTTTTTCCTCTGTTTAGCGTCCACCCATCTTTCAAAAACCTACCTACCTATTCGCAAAAAACACACAAGCCAAAACATAAAACACAGGCTTAAAAGTCATAAAAATGACGCCCTTCAAATGATTTGATCTTACTACACTGCTTTAATAGAAGAAATATCTATATTCTTAAGCAAAAACAAGGGATTAAATGCTTAAAATACAATCAGTATAACTTACTATACAGAATTGTATGGAGAAATTGACAAAATTCAAAAAATTTGACTAAATTAATCAATTTCACGACTCCTGATGTTGTGTGTTTTTTCTTATATGGGGTGTCAAAAACCAAGGCGCACGCGGTCGCTAAACATAGAAAAAAATTGGAATGGCCTGATGATAGAATCTAGGTAATTATACATTGGTTCTTTTACCATTTTCAGAAATAAATTTTCCAAGTAAGCATAAAATTTCTTTATTTTCATTATTCAATATCCATATAAGTTTTTCAGCAGGTGTCAAAGAAGAGAAGTTTGGGTTGATTTTTGATATTGTTTCCATTAATTGCAACCTTTCATTGCTGTATTTTGGACAAATGAGCAAAAAATGTTGTTCATCTTCAACTTCCTGTATATTACATTGAGAACACTTTCTAGATTCAGGGGGAAGTCCTGCATATCTTCCCCCTTTCAATATTTAACTGATGTGCAGAAATGCGAAGTTTAGTTATATTTTTCCTCTGATCATAGTTTTTGACAGTGTGGAGATAGTGTTCTCTTCCAAAATTGGTTTTGAAGATGGAATAAGTTCTTAGTTTACCATTATTTTGCCTATTTTCTCTACACCATTGGTTTATAAAATATTGTCTTATAATACATGATGACTTCTTTTTAAATGAACAAGTACTATTTTGTATCCCGCTTATTAGCCCTGATGAAGTGATTTCCTTACTAAACAAACTAGATGTTAATAAATCATCAGGTGTAGATACAATCGGTCCACGTTTATTAAAACTTACTGCACAAATAATACATAAACCTGTAACCCATATAATAAATACTAGTATTACATCAGGTATTTTCCCGAAAAGTTTTAAACTTGCCAAAGTTACACCTATTTTTAAAAAGGGAAACAAGCTAGATCCAAATAACTACAGACCCATTTCTATTTTACCGACATTATCAAAAATTATAGAAAAACATGTGGCAAAATATGTACGATTATTATTTTCAGACTTTGATCTTTTAATAGAATCTCAATCAGGTTTCAGAGAATTACACTCATGTCAAACAGCCCTTACAAAAATTACAGATAAATGGTTATATGAAATGGACCAAGGCAAACTCGTTGGTACTGTCTTTCTTGACTTCAGTAAGGCATTTGACTTAGTAAATCATGAAATTCTTCTTAAAAAGCTACAGTGCTATAATTTTAATGAAATAACTTTACATTGGTTTAGATCGTATTTAAGTGATAGACTTCAAAGTGTCCATCTGTCTAACAAAGAATCATCTTATCGGCAAGTCACAGCGGGAGTTCCACAGGGGTCTATACTAGGACCTCTTTTGTTTTTACTGTACATTAATGATCTTCCACTTTATATCAAAAATTCAAACATAGATTTGTTTGCCGATGATGCCACTTTACATGTTTCAGGCAAAGATTCCCAATCTATTTTAAATTCATTATCAATGGATATTGCTTGTATAGAAAAATGGTGCACTCAAAATCAAATGATACTTAATGCCTCAAAAACTAAATGCATGTTAATAGGGACACATCAGAAGAGATCAAAATTCTTAGACCATGATTTTCCTTTATTCGTTTCGAACCAGAAATTAGACAGTGTAACATATGAAAAAATTCTTGGGGTATATTTAGATAATTCTTTACAATACAATGTACATATCGACCATGTGTGTAAAACTCTGTCACGTAAAATTTCAGCACTCCGTAGAATTAAAAAGTATCTTCCTCTTCAAACACGCAAGTTGTTTTATAATGCATACATTATGCCTACCATTGATTACTGCCTAACAATTTGGGGAAATACGTCCAGATCAAATCTTGACAGAGTTCATAAACTTCAAAAACGTGCCGCAAGGTATATTTTAGATGCTCCCCCTGATGCACCCTCAAGACCCCTTTTTGATGAACTTGATTGGCTTACTGTTTATGAACAGCTTACTGTAAATAAATATGTATTGTTATATAAATCCCTCTTTAATTATTGTCCTACTTATTTACATGAAATGTTTAAATTTCAAATTAATAACCAATATACTCTTCGATCTGAATCAAATGTTGATTTGTGTGTACCAATTCATAAATGTAAACTTTTTGAAAATTCCTTCCAGTACTCTGGTGCCATTTTATGGAATGCTTTACCAGTGCACATAAAAATGTCACCAACTCTCAATGCTTTCAAGAGACAAGTAAAACTTTATGTTAAACAATGTCAGAATAATTTGTGATTCATATTTATTTGTATTTGTATATTTATGTTTATATTTATAATATGTCTGTATATGTATAACTATGTATCTTATATTGTTGATTGTCAGAAGGCCCTGGGGAAGAATAGTGCTTGCACTAATCAGGTTACCTTCTTTAAATAAAGTATTATTATTATTATTATTATTATTATTTTGATAAGTCAATATTTTTGAAAGCAGTTAAATGACCCAAAATTGTCTCAATGGATGCAAACCATGATGGTTTATTTTCTAATAAAAGGCTTTTTGAGACAGAGCATGCTTCTTTGAGTAGGACAAAAGATGGATGTAATGTTTCTAGTCGAAACCAGTAACTTAGCATAGCTTTAATAACTGAATGATACAGTGGAAATCTACCTAGCTCAGATAGAACCTGCAAAGTTTGTTGACTTTCTATGTACTCCAAGAATAGCCTTGCAATATTTAATGTCATTGTTTCACATTTTAATTTCTGTAATATCTTTGTTTTGAAATTTATAAGAAAAGGGGTTGAAAGTCCCCCAAATTTCACAACCATACAGAAGAATAGGAAAAATGGTATGATCAAATAAATGAAGGTTAATATTGACATTATGACAATTGGACATAATTTCTCTCTGTAATTTTGAACATGCTTTCAAGGCCTTCTTATATAATTCATTTTGAGCAAAGGTAAAAGAACCTGAGTTACAAAAGTAAATACCAAGATATTTGTATTGCTGAACACATTGATTTCAATCAACTTATTTTGAAAAGAAAACTTTTTTGATATTTTTTTTCCAGCTCTGTTAAAAATCATAATTTTTGTCTTGGATAAGTTAACATTTAGACACCAATCATTACAATATTTGTCCAATATATCAAGTTTTGATTGTAAACCATTCGAAGTGCTTGATAGCAAGATTAAATCATCAGCATACATTAAACAGTGTATTATGTGATCATTAAGAGTAACAGAATCTAGATGTAATATTACTTACTAATGTAGGATCTATTTCTTGAACATCTAGTAGCTTTTTATATATTCCATGGACCTTCTCATATTTCATCCTACTCTGTAAAATATACAAGTCAAAGGTCACTCTGCTGTTTGAAAAACTTAATACAAGTTATTTGATTCAGCAACAAAAGGATATATTGAGAAAGACAATCAACAAAATGAAGGTGAAAAAGAATGCAATAAAAATAGGTGAACAAGATTCTGTACATTTTTTCCATTAGATTTATTTCAGACTTTCACATTAAATTTATACCTCCTCAAAATCAGCATAAGCAAAGTAAACCAGCATATTATTCTTCATCAGAGTTGTTACGGCTCTCTCATAGATAGAACCCGCCTCATCTGCGAACATCTTACCAGCATTCTGGTCCTAACAAAGCAAAAGGTGTAAATAAGTAAATTATATGAATATGGTAACAAATATGTTCAATGATCCTCTCCCCTCACAAAGAGCGATACAATTACATGTAATATTAGGGTGAATTCACCATCAAACACCATAATATTCATTGGTAATAGATCAGCATTTGACACTAGTGAGGATTCAAAAGATTCTTAAATCAAATACAGTGGACTTTCAGATATCCGGATGCCAGATATCCGGATGCTTCAGTATCCAGACGATTTTTCATCGGAATGGATTTTTTTTAACCCTACTTTGTCTTGTTTAACTGGTATTTCAGATATCCGGACGCTTCACATATCCAGATAAATTGACTACCTGGTAGGAACCAAAGCGTACAGATAAATGAGGCTCCACTGTAGTTTGCATTTTGTCATAAAACTGTTAAATTTAACCATTTGTCATCGTAAAATTGATAACAAGATGTTGGTATTGAAGTGAAGTACCCCTTTCTCTGTGAGGATTTTGCTGGACTGTTCCAGATAAGAAGCTGCCTCATACCAAATGTCCGGATGATGTCCCAGGCACAGTAGACATTGCTCATACGCAAACATCACTGTAAACAAAGATCCATTTCTACACAGTCAGAACTAGCTCAATGGGCCGTAAAACTCAGAAAAACTCACTTTTGATCTCAGACTCACTTTTAACAGATTAATATATACATGTATAGTGGAAAGCTAGACTGAGCTCATCTGAGTTTTATAGCCCCAAAGTCAGAGCAATTATAACTTATATACAATTACAATGGGACAAAGCATATAAATCTGTGTGTGTTTTCTAAGATAAGCTTTCTTTCCTAGAAATACACATGTCCATGCAATGAATAGCAGTCTCTAGTATACAGAATGTCTTCTATAATCATAACTTTATAAAATGAAAGTTCACAAACTTTTTAGAAATGCAAAAACTAAATCTGAGCTTTCCTTATAAATTTAACACTGGGAAATAAAATCCAATTACAATGGTGCTATAAGATAATTTTCATTGCTAGAATGACAATAATTTCTTCGTGATGTATATGACAGCTCCATAAAATATCTTCAGTAAAAAATAAAAACAACAATCCTAACATGAATTAAAAGCACACAACTTGTATCTGAGATATGTGTATTTCAAAGCACATATTTTATATGTCACTTAAGTATGAACAGATCTGGTGATTGTAGGAAACTTTAAAAAATAAACATTTTACACATTGTAGGCCCTACAAGTAAGACACATAAAAACCCAGCATCACAAAATAAGCAATTATAGCACTGCTCCCTTCACAAACAAAATGGGACAATGAAGAAGCTTAGAGATGGAAGCTTGCTATGGAGACAGACTTTCTGCTGTCCTGGGCTCTCTACCTCGCTTTGTGATCAGAGCATGGTCTTCCGTCCTCAATGGATTACTTTTCTCCCAAGCAATGTACTTTTTCCATAACTCTACCTGAAAATGGGAAAGAAAGTATAACTAAACCTTTATTGATTTTTCACTAATTCAGAGTAAATCCATATTTAATACACTTTGCTGATTCCCTGAAAATTACTTGAGGAATCACTTTTTAGTTTGTTGGGTTGGGGGTACAGAAGGGAGATTTATTTACCTGCTGTGCTTCGTCTGGATTATTCTGTGGGGGTACAGAAGGGAGATTCTTATTTATTTACCTGCTGAGCCTCGTCTGGATTATTCTGTGGGGGTACAGAAGGGAGATTCTTATTTATTTACCTGCTGAGCCTCGTCTGGATTATTCTGTGGGGGTACAGATGGGAGATTCTTATTTATTTACCTGCTGAGCTTCCTCTGGATTATTCTGAGGGGGTACAAATGGAAGATTCTTATTTATTTACCTGCTGAGCTTCATCTGGATTATTCTGCGGGGGTACAGATGGGAGATTCTTATTCAGTCCCCTTGTGACGGCCTCATACTCTTTGGCCACTCTTCTGGCATTAATGTATTCTCTTCCTCGATCTTCTGTCATCTTCTTTGCAATCAATGGATTTATACTCTGAAGTGGTTAAATAAACTTCATAATCTAATGCTTCATACAGTGAAACACGTCAAATCTCAATGTTTTACTGCAAATGTAATACTGTGAATTCACATACATGTATTTTCATGGGGTCAAATTTTCGTGATCTAAGGAAAAAAACATGGGTTCCCAAGGATTTAATTTTGTGGATGAAGATTTGTTGAGAATAATATATGTGAAAAATTACATTTCATGGTGGACATAAATTTGTGGGTCTCTTCATACCTCGAAAACAACGAAAATTAACCCCCCACAAAAATTAGTAATTTCATAGTACATGTATTCTAATATAATGAGCAATTTTTATGTACAACCTCTTAGTATTAAATTCATTATTTTAGTCTTTTAAACTTTACAAAACCTCTTTCCATAATTTTTCACTTGAAGTAATTCTTTTGTACCTGTTCATACTGACAATAATCCTTCCAGAGCCCCTCTATGTTTATCATAGGATTGACTACGCCTCTCTGGAATACTTTCCTTACAGCTGTTATCTGTTGGTTTTCAGCATAGGAGCCCACAGCTTCACTGAAATTATAATCACAGTCCACTGCTTTACAAAGTTACCTTGCCCACTTCATAAGTCATTCATTCACCATAATTTTTTTTTTCTAAGATAAAAAACTTACTTTAAATCAGTTTTTATTCATGAGAACTTCACTTTTGCATAATTACGCGAGACAATGAGCTCGCTAAAATTTCATTCTCGTGTATGAAAGTATTCCTTACGATTATATAGACGAAAAACAACAATTCGTGAAAATAATATCTTATTGATACAAAGGCAAAAATAAGGTGTCGCGAAAATTAAGTGATCTACAGTAATTATTTTTTTTTAATAATCAACTTACACTGATTTTAAGAAGTTAATGTAGTCCACCCAGACTTGATAAGACATAATGTCCATTCCCATTTTGTCCAAGGCAAAATCGTAAGCCTGGGCCATCTTCTCCCTGAAAAAGTTAAAAATTCCATTATTAAGGAACTTTCGTGTCTAAAAGCAAAGAGATCAAGCAAGTTTTCTCTGTACATATAGTTTTTCATAAGAAAAGATTGAATTGACATTATTACCTGTACGAAGGTAGTTTTCCTTTTGTGTCCTTGATGTAATTGAGATACAATTTCCAGAGATCTATGTTCAGAATTTTGACAAGACATCTTTGGAAAAGCTACAAAAAGTCATTAGTAAAGAATACCTGAGAAACGCATGTAATAAACATTTCTCGTACATGTAATTTTGGAAAATATGAATGCTTTTTAAGGAGTTAAAAGGTAAACTCCAAAACTTTTAAGTTTATTGAGTCTTGATTCAAAAACTTCATTATTTGAACTTTTACCCACTTTGAACTTAAACCAACACTACACGAGGATGCTTGCATATTACTTGGACAATTCACCTCACAGTGCTCTTGGGAACGAGCTAGCCAGGATCGAGTTTTTGACTATATACTTGAGGATGCTAACAAATGTGGCTTTAAATTTGTTCCCAACTGAAGCCTATGATAAAGTTTACATCCATGCTTTATGCAAATACTTCCACTGACAATTAACATATCTGACAACTCCAACCCCCTGTCACCCCAACTCTAGTAAAAATTCTAATGCTTTCCCATCCCTGTCTTTAATTTTATGATTTCAACAAACTTAATTCAAAATAAATTTGTCAAATATCCTTATCTATGCAATATAATTCCAAAAACTTTTTCCCAACATGTTTACTGTATGTACAAGAAATATCTGCTAATTTGATGACCAACTTTAATTGTGAATATTTATTATGACCATGAACCATTTATTTTGCTTTAATATATTGGAAGAGAATGTTTCTTTGTTCATGAAAATTAATCATTGCAAATTGATTTCGAACTGACGAATAAAGGATGCCACAAATAATAGTTTAATCATGACAATCATGTAAAAAATGTTTTTCATTTTCAACAATGTAATAAAACCCAAAAAAAAATTATCCTCACCTTTTCCACTCTCTCAAAATTCTTCGCTTTCAACTGAAAAGAACATTTCGCATCAAGATTAAGTAATTGGAATGAAATTCTGTATAGTAGATACTGAGATCTGCAGTGGTACGTGTGTGCAAGATATGATTTTGGAACTATACAGCAATAAAATTTGGATTTTGACATCCGTATGTTAAGATGCATTAGTTGACAAGGTTTATCTATTCTCCAGCTCACTTTCTGTAAAATTTATGGTCTGGATATGACTTGCATCTCGATAAGCAAAATCTTCCAAAATGAGGTCACAGTAACCTACTTTAAGATCCCTTCACACCTTCCTCAAAAGGTCTCTAGATAAGAGATATATGACCCAGAAATGAAAGTTTGATCACATAGTGTGGTCCCACTCTACCATTGGAGGTCATATATTTGAACAATCTATAATACACTACCCAAAAATGCCTCAATACTAATATGACTAATTGTGCCCTTGCCGTTCTTGAGACAAAGATTCTAAAAGATTTTTCTTTTAAATTTCAATGTAAACCTTTGATCCCTTATTGCAGTCCCACCCTATTCCCTCGGGTCATGATTGGAATAATTTAGCATCTACTTTTCCCAAGGAAAGCCTTCATATAAATTTCATATTTTCTAATCCAGTGATTCAAGAGGAGAAGATTCTTTAAAGATAATGCTTGTATATTTCACTGAAAAACTGTAACCCAATCCTACTGCCAGGGTCCTTGATTAGAACAGTTTAGAATCTACAGCTTCAACATATTGATTTTTACTTTTTCCTGGCACAGTACGTGAGCTCTTTAGAAGATTTTCAAAAAAAATAAAACATTTTAATATAAAACTTTCATCCATTATTGAGGTCTTATCCTAATCCTGGAGGTTATGTTTTGAAAATAAAAACTTTAATCTACTTTTCCTCAAAGAATTCACAGAATCTCCCAGTGGTTTTTCATGACTTAACCCTATTTTTGCTTGTTCTTGATTACCTCCCCTTAGGGTCTTTAATTTGAACTGCTAAGAATCCCCTTTATCTAGAGATTTTTACAGTCTTTGGGTGAATAGATGATCAGATATAAATTCACTGGAGATTTCAGGTGAGCTAAAACCAATAATAAAATGACAATGTCTGTTTGTTTGTTTATTAATAGTCATTCATTATGGCATGATATTTTTGTATGTTATGGGTTGTAATATTTCCCCTCTTGAAAAGTCTCTTTTTAAAAAAAAAAAAAAAAAAACAATTAAACACAAAATGAACGAACATTGAGGTCAAAGTCATAGCAGAGGTCAAGGTAAGATGATTTCAGATCTATTGTTCTTAACAATATGTATTGGTATTGAAGGTCATGGGAAGATCAAGTATTCATTCCTGTAAATCTGAGAAAAACCCAATACAACTGCATTACGGAAAACTGATATCGCATTACTGAAATTTTTGCTTACAAGACTAGTCAATATAGTCCATACAGATTTTTTTAAAATATACTCCTATTTTAAAATTTTGATTCCCAATTACTTAAGGTCCAATCCTCCAACCGGTGGTCATGATTTGAAGAAATTTCCTCCCTAAGGATGCTTACATAATTATAAATATTATCAATTATAATGGTTTTGCTATTGAGGAGAAGTTTTTCTAAGAATTTTTTTTCTTTTTTATACATTCCTATTTAAAACTTTGATCCCCCATTGTTGCCCAACCCTCCCACCGGGGGTCATGATTTGAACAAACTTGAATATACACTACCTGAGGATGCTTCCACATCAATATGATTTATCATGGCTTTGCTTTTATGTAATTTTTAAGATTTTTTTCCTTTAGAATCCTCAGTAAAAATTCATCCATTGATAATTCATTGTGACCCAATCCTACCCCTGGGGTTATGATGTGAATTAACTTAAATCTGCATTACCTATTAAATGATGCTTCCATATTAATATGACTGAATTATCAAGAATTTGCCGTTTGGAAAAGATTTTTCAAGAATAATTATAATTCCCACATAAAACTATATAAAACCTTGATTCTTATTTCTTAATTATCTCCCCTAAAAAGAAGGTGTAGCCCTTCATTTCAATAAACTTTTAAATAAGTCCAAAATGTGATAAGTTTACAGAATGACAATGAACAAAATGTGATTGGAAAAACTTAATCGAGCTTTAGCTCAGGTGGGCTAAAAACTGAAAACTTCGTCAGCTTATTTTGAAGCAATGTATAGCATTTCTGAACAAATTGTGTTTGTGATACACTGATGCCCCATTATAGCAGCTTATGGCATTCTCTCAAAGGCATGTTTAAATTCACAGGTCAAGTTCAAAAGTGTTGGTACCCAAGGGAAAATCTTGTTAAAAGGAATACACCTGTGAAATATGAAAACCCTTTTTATAACTGTTCAAAAGTTATGACCAAGGTTAAAGGTTTTTAAAAGTGTGTCAATCTCTAAGGACAAGGTAGCTGCAGAACTGTAGCTCTCTGCTTGAGAAAATTCGAACAGATAAAGCAGAGAGCTACAGATCCAAGCATTGTAAAAACCTTCAAGCTACAGTTCTGCAGCTAAGGTCAAGGTCAACAAGAGACGTTTGTAAAACACTTATGTCCCCCTCCACAACAAACTAGAATTTTTCTAAGTCCAAAAGGGCATAACTCTGTTAATTATGGTGCGATCGTACCCAAAACAAAACTTGACCTAGATATTTATCTGACTAATATGTATACTAAATTCCATTTCAATATGTGCAACCTCTCCGAAGAAAATGAACGGAAACTGCAAATAATTGGAATTTTTTTGTAAGTCCAAGGGGCTTAATTCTGTCAAAAATGGTGCGATTGTACCCATAACAGAACTTGACCTAGATATTCATCTGACTAATCTGTATACTAAATTCCATTTCAATATGTGCAACCTCTGCAAAGAAAATGAACGGAAACTGCAAATAATTGGAATTTTTGCAAGTCCAAGGGGCATAACTCTGTCAAAAATGGTGCGATCGTACCCAAAATAAAACTTGAACTAGATATTCATCTGATATACCTGTATACCAAATTTCATTTCAGTGTGTGCAACGGTTGTTAAGAAAATGAACAGAAACTAAATAGACTGACAGACCGACCGACATCAGCAAAGCAATATGCCCTCCCTTTCTCGAAGGGGGGCATAAAAATATTTATACCAACTCAAATGTCTTGTAACAATGAATATACATGTGAAATATGAAAGACCTAGCTCCAACTGTTCAAAAGTTATGGCTAAGGTTAAAGTGTGGTATTTTTTGTAAAAGTGTAAAATGATGTCGAGATGTCAAATGAAAGCACAAGGAATACACCTGTGACATATGAAAGCCATGGCCCCACCCATTCAATAGTTATGGGCTAGGTTAAAGTTGACAACAGACAGAGAGACAAATAGACATACAGGACAAAAACAATAAACCTCCATGATCTTTTGATCCAGGGGCATAAAAATCTGTCAGTGAGGTTTTACTGTTGCCTACATTATCAACACAGATTGCGAGTTGAAGGTGGATTATGAATAAAATGTATAATTATGTACATGATGAAAAAAATAATTTGGATATCAATTACTCCAGAATAATTTTATTAAAGCTAACCAAGAGTGAAACTGAATGTCATGACTCCACAATCTAATTATAATTACACGTTCTGAATTCTGTTACTGATTGAGAAACACTAGTGGATTTGGAACATCCCCATTTTAATTAGATTGCTCTAGTCTCTGTATATCATGACAAGGTGCACACGGTGGGTGTGACGGGTGGGCAGGGGATGCTAACTACTCCATGGCACCTGATCCCACCTTTGATGTTTTGGAGGTCTGTGTTTGCTCTGCTACTATTTTGTATTGCTTTATGGACTTTTGTTCTTGAATACTGTTTGTAATCTCCATATTTTTCATCTGGATGCAATTGCCATCTTTTTCTGTCATATTTTGGCCTCAACCTCAACTCATTTTGTATTTTCAGTATCTCATATTTTTTCCGAAAAATATTTTTTTGACAATACATGTAATATTAACTGACTGGTTTTCAAAATATCCAGTCATGCAATGCAGTCAAATGTGGGAAAGTGAGATGGTCATGTTCACAGGAAAGTCTTAAGGCAACTTGACACATTTTTTAGTGTTTTGATAACAAATACTGTGGAACCACTTTAATTCATGAGGGTCAATGTTTGCGGGCTAGCAAAACTGAACTATTTGGTCAAGGAGACACAATTTCCTAGTTTAATACTTGTTTACGTATATCATAGATTCAATGAATCAAGATACTTTCAAAATAAATGTTCATGGGGATGTAAATTGTGGGTAAGGGAGACCCACAAAATTCACAAACACTGATCCCCCACAAAATTTATTGAAATTTATTTAATCTCAGAGCTATACACACCAGATGGAAAAGGGGAACAGATCAATGGTATCAATAAATGAATATGGTTGAAATATATAGAACAGTTTATTTATAACTAAGCTAAATGCAACAAATTAATTCAGAGAATCTGTATTCCTGCTTAAGGAAACAAGAACAGCATGTGCAGATCTAGAGAGAGAGGGTCAAAAGAGGGGGCACTTTAAGAAGGGCAGGCTGGGTTATACAATTGTGCCATAAAATTTCATCATAAAAGCTCAAAAGACTCTTGAGATATTGCCCGGAATTGAAAGTTTACACACAGTCAGAATGTATATCAGGAAGATTTCACTAAAGGGATTCCATTCTACCAGTAGAACCAAAGGCAAATAATTTAAACTCTACAGTACACAACTTATACTTTCGCATAATTTTTATTTTCCTGCTCCAGAGAATCACAAGATACAGAAACAAACAGAAATCAACCCCTAAGTTCATTGAAACAATACAAACTGGGACCTCTTGGGGATCAGGTGTCACCTGTCCACCAGTCACATTGTGCTGAAAACAGAAAAAATGAAATTCAGTGTGTAAATACTATCCTAAAACCACATATTTTAAAACATTCATGCCCCACCCTACCCTCAGGAGCTATTTCAGCCATTTCTTGATTATCTTCTTTTGGAAGGGGGCTTGATCCTTCATTTGAACAATTCAAGATTTCCATTACCAAATGATGCTTATGCTTTGTGTCAACTTTGGTTATAATTAGCCCTGTGGTTCGTAAAAAAAAAAAAAGGAAAATGTGAAAAGTTTGCAGGGTGACGAACAGACAGATTCCAGACATTTGTGATGAGAAAAACTCACTTGATTGTATAGCTCAGGTGAGTGAAAAGAACATTCTGCCCCATCCATATTCATGATAGGGCATAAAAATGACATAGTCCAGAGTATAAGTTAATGCATCCTTATCAACATGGCCAGATGTTAATAATGGGTGTTACAGGGTGTAAGAACCTTCTGAATTAAAAATAAATAAATAAATGCCTTTATTTTGGGATATATTTTGATTGTTGGATCCTTGACTCAATTTGTTCATACAGACAGTAAAAAACACACAGTGTGCGATGAACTTTATGCCTCTATTCTGTGTGCAAAAATAAACAACAAAACACATTTCATAAAAGACAAAATACATATTTAAAATTTGGGAATGTTTATTTAGCTATGAAACATTACCCAATCATTTTAAAAAGAATTCATCTACAAAATCTGATACATCCTGAAAAGCAAGTGAATATTAGTTAAAATCATGTTGGGTACCCCCAGCACACATACAACACACATTCATTCACTTGAAATTCTATTTTCACCTATTTTATTCTTTTCTGTAATAATCTATTAAAAGATATATTCTAACTTTTTATCAATTTTCTGCTGAGGTGCATGTGAGATATTCTGTAAATAAGTTATATGTATGACATAAAAAACTGGCCTATGCTTCTGTGAAATTTAAATAAGAGCAATAGAAACATTCTACATTCTGCAAGTTATTATAATAAACTTCATTTCTTTTTTTATTTCACTAGTTTTGTCTACTTTTCTTATTCGAGTTTATTTTTAAAAATTTTTCTGTACATTTGACATATGAAAGACCTATGACTGTGTAAAATCATGAAGAGATTATCATCTGTAAAATTTCTGGCAATTTTTAAATGTAGTGTTCTATGCATCTTTGCAGATAAATCTCTAGATTAGCTTTCCTTGATTGAAAGTTAATATTGATTATACTTCACTTAATTCAGATAGTGATACTTTCAATTTTGTTCAACCCATCTTTAACTGCTCAGCAGTCAGACAAATATAGTAGATATAAAGCTAAAATATCTACGATCTGATGGTATTTTGCTACGATCTGATGGTATTTTCTCACTTGCTCCATCACTCACACTAGGGGAATAAACAACACAAACACCACAAAAGAGGCAGAGACGTCAAACTTTTGTAATGATTTTATGTCAAGCATGAAAACAAAAGACTGTGATGCTCAACTTCATTACAGAGAATATACTGTAATCATTCAGTCTCTAACATACTATCAGTATCTCTTACCTTACTAACCAAAACTCATTTACATACTGCTTCAATATCACATATTTTGATATGTCAAGCAATGTCTGTTTATGTTCCACGTATATGTATTATTATAATTAATAGAAATATGAAAATTACCTCTTGCATAACTATTGTGTTTTCCAAAAATTTCAAAATATAATGAAACATATAACAGACATAATTGATATGACTTATCATGTCATGTAAACTTCAAAATATATATCAACAAAAACAATGAAACATCTCTTTATGAAAACCAAATTATGAATAACTTTTATTAAGTTTATGATTATTTATGCATAAGTGAAATATAACTGAATAAACCTCTTGTTCTATATAAATCCTCCAGTATTTGCCTGCATTGGGAAATTGGGCAACCAGTCTCTCGTATACTTGCCGAGCAATTTCTATCGGTTTCATCTACAAAGCAAAATTATTTAATATTAGACATACATCCCATGGATTTTCTTTATTTTCCCTCTTTTTTCATATTTAATTTGGCTATCGCTACCTGAGATTTATTACAGCAATCAAAAATTAATATTGCGGAAATATGTTAGGGCACTTTAATCATGTTTATTGCATTAATCATGTTAATGAAATGTCAATCGAAGAAATCCACTTAAATTTTTACACACGAACGTTGCCATTCCACAGTCTTATGGCAATATGATCATGTGGAAAAATTTGTTAATAGTATTTCTCTATACTTTCTAAACTAACCTGTGCATCTCGAATAAGAACACTCCATGCCTCTGTATCATAAGGAAACGCTTCAATTCGTTTTTCTGCCTTTTTTAGTTTATCAGGAATGTAACCAATTTGCTAAAATTAAATGAAATATTGTATAAATAGATGGCATATAAATTAATAGTTTGAATACAGAAAACTCTTTATTTATCATGATCATGGTGAAAAACACAAGAGGGTTTGACAAATCTTTCCCTTTAATACAATATTTATAATCAATGTGTAACAAATCTACTCATGACATGAATATTGGAAAGACGATAATTCTATTAATTTCCAGATGTTATGTGACCACACTGTCAATAAACCTCTAGAGCAAAAACGTATCAAAATTTAAAACAAAATACCGAGGAAATTCGGATAGTCTGAATAGATATTTCGATCCAATTATCAAGGGGGAAACAATTTCAACTATAAAGTGCTTCACTTTCATTTTTGTTTACTTTCTGTTATGATAATACTCATATATCACACGGAATCTTACCTCTGGTGGCAGCACGCCACCGGCGTGGGCACCTGCCGACATTTTGTTTTTTCCTTACACCGCGATAAATTAAAACACAACAATATGTAGTGAATAAAAGAACAAACAACTCTGAATAATAAGCAACTTATTCCCCAGATTGCATATTATTTATTTATATTGGCCATCACAACAATGACCGTGCAGGAATTCCCATTCAGTATGCACTCCATTATCCAGACCCACTCACAACACCGCCATTGCTGTTTGTCTTCAACGTCGACCATTTCCGGCACGTCGATTTACCCAAATGGACCCAAATTGAACCCAAAAGGAAACAAATGGGCCCAAATGGAAATCAAACAGACCAAAAAAAATTATACTGAATCAAATAAATTATTAAATATGAATAATCGTATTTTATTTCTTATTCCAAATGATGAAGAATTCATAAGTAAACAAATTAGTAAGATCAATACCAGAAAAGCTACAGGCATAGACGGGATCTCCCCAAAGATACTACATTACGCGAAGCCTGTTATTATCAGTCCCTTGACCAAACTTGTAAATATGTCATTGTCATCCTCAGTTTTCCCCAGATTCCCTTAAAATAGCACAAGTAGTCCCTATTCACAAAAAGAACAGTGTCCTAGATAAGAGAAACTATAGACCAGTAAGCGTCCTCCCAGCTCTCTCCAAGGTTTTTGAAAATGCAATCAACACTCAAATATCAAACTATTTTGAGAAAATTTTTAACCCTTATTTAGCGGCATTTAGATCAGGGTATGGTTGCCAATCGACCTTATTAAGAATACCGAGGATTGGAAGAGATCTTTGATGAAAATAATATGTTTTTTTTAATGGACTTATCCAAGGCATTTGATTGCCTTCCTCAAAATCTTATATCTGCTCAAAAAAATCTTATGGTCTCTCTACCTGCAGAATAGCAAATATAAAAATTTTAAATTGCAGAAAACAGTGTGTCAAAATTAGTCAAAATATAAGCACCTTGTTATCTTTAAAGGTGTACCTCAAGGATCAATTCTTGGGCCAGTTATTTTTAATATTTTCATTAATGATATTTTTTATTTTGTAAAAATTCAGACTTGTACAACTATGCAGATGATAATACCTTATCCAAATCTGAAATATAACAAAATGTTATTACAAAACTCTGGAAAAGGAAAGTGGCACTCTCATGCCTATTGGTTTTCAAATAAAATGCAGGCAAACCCAGAAAAATTTCAAGCAATAGCACTGAAAAAGACCATGATAAAAACATTACTTTAAACTTGAATGGTACATCCATTGCCTGTGAGGATGAAGTGAAACTGCTTGGTGTTACTTTTGATTTTAACTTAAACATCAAATTCTCATATATCAAATATTTGTAAGAAAGCAGCTTACGACAATTAAATGTGTTAAAACACAAAGTGAAAATTCTGCTTGTAAACTAGAGAGAAACTTACCATCTATCACTTTTTATAATGTCCAACTTTAGTTCTATTGTCCATATCTGGTATGGCATTTTAGCAGTGAAAAAATTGCAAAAAAATAGAAAAAATTCATACTTAGGAGGACACTAAGATTCATATATAATGACTACACAACATTTTATGACCAGCTCCTAGAAAAACAAAATTCAGATATTTATTCACTGAAAATCATGGTATGAGAGCCATGGCCCTTGAAGTTTTAAAAAAATTATAAACAATCAAAGCCCACTGTTCCTGCAAGATTTTTCAACAGAGAAATTAAAATACAATTTTAGGTATGAAAATTTTTTTTAGGCCAAGAACCACTAGGTATGGGAAACAGTCAGTTCCAGAAATTTTTTTACGTTGTAAAGAATTCTCTACCAAATCATGCTAGGAGTTAAGCTTGTATAACGAAAGCCCTCAGCCAATTTAAAACTTTCATTGAGACATGTTACGGGGGAAAAATGCAAATGCAGTTCCTGCAGAAACAACAGCGTGGGGCTGCATAGCTGATGAGACAATATTTATCTGTTATTTATTCACTTAGTTTAGAAACAGCTGAATTTTCATTTATTTTTGAAATCTTTCATTTGCTTTGATGATACCAACCCATTTTATTTCATAGTTTTCTAGTGTTTCTTTTACTATTTTTTTTTTCTTTACCCTCACAACAATGCATATCTTGCAGGCGCGTAGCATCGTTTTTGGAAGTGGACTTAGTTATCTCGTTAGAAAATTTTTTTATTACTTACCTGAAAAAGTTGACAAGTTATAAAAAAAAAAAAAAAAAAAAAAAAAAAAAAAAAAAAAAAAAAAAAAAAAAAAAATTTTTTTTTTTTTTTTTTTTTTTTTTTTTTTTTTTTTGTGGGGGGGGGGGGGGGGGGGGGGGGGGGGGGGGGGGGGGGGGGGGGGGGGGAGTGGCTAACTTTTTTCAAGTCCAACTATCTTTCAATTCAAACTTTTTGGAGTAAATTTTCTTTATAACACTACCCTTTGCTGAAATGTGGGGGGGGGGCCAACCTTCCTTTCAGTAAACATTTTCTATAGTAAAGGTAATGTCGTTATAAAAAGTTAATCCCCTCGATACTACGCCCCTGTCTTGCCTATGTAAAAGGGATTGACCCAATCACTAGGCAGGATGTGTATTGATAAGGAACATAAATTATTTCTAAATTACTGTTATTATTATTGCAATTTTAATTTTTTTTTTTTTTTTTTAGTTATTTTTTTCCCCTTGTTATGGAATGCCATATACTTTCACAGCCAACTGCTTACTGCCAACTTAATACATTACTGCCAACTGTCAGCTGCTTACTGCCAACTGCTACACATATTTGAATAAATTTTATATTGATATTGATATTTATATGAATTTTCACAAAAAAGGGGAAAAAAAGGCATGGATCCAGGACATCTTTTCCAAGGGGGTCACTGTGGTAAAATTGAATAGAATAAAATGACCAATATGTTTTATCTTATGTAATATTCAATATATGCGGTTGATAAAGTACATTGTTTATTTTTTTTATTTGTTTTCCTATTTGAAATAGGTAGTAAAATGACTATTTTCTGCTTTATATCATTAACAGAATACCTTCACCCGGAGACAACAAAACCTTTGAAGAGAGATTAATAATAATAAAAAAGATTTGTCTTTTCGCAGAGAAAGATGTTTTGAAAATAAATTTCCGTTTCCATTATTTTTATAGTTCTAAAACAAAACAAAATTTGCACTATAGTTATCTAACACAAAATTGCAACTATACAATACTTATGCAAAATATGAAAATTCATAGCTTATTTTTTAGAAGTTTAGAAATTTTATGAAAAGTGTCCCATTTACGCCATTCAACTAAAAGTTATTTAATGTATAAAATAAATCAACTAAGAACCTTAGAACCCCCCCCCCCCAACCGAAAATGTGGATTTGTGTTAAGTTGGTATGAAAAATGTCATACACATGAAGGTATGACGCATAAGAAACCCCCCCCCTTCTCCCCGACCGAAATAAATTGTCACATTTAGGAAAGGACTTTATGTATTTTTTTCTTTTAAGAATTTCTTGGTTGGATTTTTTTTTTACCAGAGTGACCCTCTTCGAAAAAATGTCCTATAGATCCGCGCCTTTTTTTTTTTTTTGAAATTTACATAAATATCAATATAAAAATAAAATTTATTCAAATATGTGTGGCAGTTGGCAGTAAGCAGCTGACAGTTGGCAGTAAGCAGTTGGCTGTCGTATATGGCATTCCATACCCTTCTTCTTTCTCAAATTTGGTTTAGCTATGTCTGTGTGAATTTTTAATTTTCTAAACTTTCAAATTTATTTATTTATTTATTATAATTATTATTAATAATACATTTAGTTATTTTTTTATCTGAATTTATGGATTAAACTTAGTACTTAATTTTTATTATTATCATATAACTTTTATTTATTTATTTATTTATAATACTCACGTTATATTTATTTTTGTTCCTCTTAATGCAATCGTATTGCTTTTCAATTTGTCTATTTTTTCTTTAACTTATTCTAATGAAATAATAAATTCTTATAATTTGTTAAATTCTTAAAATTCGTTTTATTTGTCATTTGTATGTGTATATATGTACATGTGTTTTTGCATGTTAATTTATGCTGTAAATGTTTTCCTGTGATATTTTAACTGTGATAATCATTATGCAGAGCAACATAGCTCATGTTTCTTGTTATGTATTGTATACAATGCCGACTTTAAATAAAATTTACTTACTTACTTACTTACTTATGAAAATAAATGAATGGAGTTTATGAAATATTTTGGATAGTATTCTATATATCAGCAAAATTATCAGGATTACATAATACTTTACAATGATTTTCTTTCAATATGTTATTGCAGTGGCGTAGCATCCTTCCTGTGGCCATAGAAACTAAATACTTCAGTTTTGCATTCAATTATGTGCAAAAGTTTTTACAAATAGATAAAAAAAATTGTATTTTAAAAATACAATTTAAGAAAATAATATTAAACAAGAGGCCCACGGGCCTTATAGGTCACCTGAGCATTATGCAACAATTTTCCAGTTATTGAATTTGATTCATGTTTTAAGCCAGATGCTATATGACATTCACAATTTTGAAAGAGGCGCCATTGATCATCATAACAATAAACTTAGCAGTTGCTTAAATTACTTTACTGAATACCTATATATAGGGACAGTCATATAAAATGCATTCCAACTAACCAGTAGTGCCCCTAACACTGTGACATAAACCCCTGACCCTAGGCTTCCACACATTGCACAAATTTCAAAAAGGCAGAAACCCTTAATATCAAAAAATAAATAATTTTTTTATAAATATATACAAAAGAGCAGATTTCAAACAATAAATTCATTTTCAGTATATAAGTGAAAGCCCCCACCCCACCCCAACCCTGGGGCTTTGAAATTTACAATTCTGCAAATTAACATTTTTCATAAAAACTATAAAGGTAGTTCATCTGCTTTATACCCAGAGACAAAGAAAATTTCAAAGATTTAATGTATTTTCATTATATAATCAATTGAGCCCCGCCCCCCTAACACCAGAACCCCTGGCCCTGGGGCCATAAAATTCATAATTTTAAAAGAGGCATTCTTGCTGATCATAACTATGTACTTAGTTTATTTAATTCCTTGGAGCAGAGAAGAAGATTTTCAAAGAATTCAAGTATTTTCAATATATAATCAATAGAGCCCTGCCCTAACACCAGAAACCCTGACCCTGGGACCATAAAATTCACAATTTTGGTACAAGCACTTGTATCATAACTATGCACTTAGTTAGTTTATTTAATACCTAGGAGCAGAGAAGAAGATTTTCAAAGAAGTTTTTCATATATTTTTACTATATATAATTTAATTGATCACCTAACACCAGAACCCTTGAGCCATAAAATTCACAATTACCCCAGGGGCACTGTTGCTCATCATAACACACTTAGTTGGTTTATTTAATACATAGGAGCAGAGCTAGGAGAAAAGAATTCATGTATTTTCACTATATATAATCAAAGAGCCCCCCCAAAAAACGTAACAAGAACCCTTGACCCTGGGGCCATGAAATTCACAATTTTGGTAAATATTATCATTAACTATGCACTTAGTTAGTACATGTATATTTAATACCCGGAGGCAGAGAAGAAGATTTTCAAAGAATTCATGTATTTTCACTATATAATCAATAGAGCCCCACCCCTAACACCAGAACCCTTGACCCATCCCAAAAAATTGCACAATTTTGGTAGAGGATTTTTTTTTTTAACTATGCTCTTAGTTAGTATATTTAATACCCAGTGCAGTAGATGGATTTTTAAAGAATTTGTATCTTTCACTATATATAATTTAGAGCCCCGCCCTAACACCAGCAGGCGCGGACCCTGGGGAATTTTTTTTCACAATTTTGGTAGAGGCACTTATGCTCATCATAAAAATGCACTTAGAGTATATTTAATACAAGGTCAGAGAAAAAAAAAGAAATCATATTTACAAACAACAAGAAAACAAAACAAAACGTAAACTCTGACCCCAGGGCCATGAAAATCACAATTTGGTAAAGGACTCAATGCTGATTACAATCATGCAAACAGTTTGACTGCTTGATGTCCTATTACTTTTCAATAAAAATTTTAACAAGATTGCATTAATTTTAGTGGTTTTGGTCCCACCCCTCAGGGAGGGGGCAAGGAAACTTTCACAATTTTTGTATCCCCTTCAATAAATGCTTTGTGCTAAATTTGGTTGAAATTGGTTCAGTGGTTGCAGAGAAGAAGCTGGAAATGTTCAAATGTTGACACATGTTTGAAAAGGCATTATAGCCAAATACATGTATATTGAGGTCACCTGAGTTTACTCAGGTGACCTAAATAGTATCTGTTAATTTCATTAATTTCAATATTTCAAATGAGCAACTACTAAAGCCTTTAAGGATCAATCTATAGAGAATTTTTTTTAAAAAAAGACATTATAATGCTTTTAGAAAAGGCCTAATAATGCAAAAGAAGGCGTAATCTTTGATAGGGCATATTATGCTTTCCATTCCAAAAGGCGTTATTAGGCCTTTTAAAAAGACGTTATAAAGCCTCTCTAAAAAGCTTTATAAGGCCTTTCCAAAAGGCATCATTACTTCTTCTAAAAGGCATTAAAAGGTGTTATTACGCCTTTCCAAAAGGTGTTATTAAGCCACCCTAAAAGGCATTATTACGCCTTTCTACAAGGTGTTCAAGGTGTTATTACATCGATCTAAAAAGAGGTATTATGCCTTATAAAAATTCTGTTATAACGCTTTTTTAGAAAAGGCCATATATTTTATTTTATTTGTGAAATATATGACTTAACATATTTAGCCCAAGTGAAGGGGTGGGGGGGGGGTGAGAAATCTTACCTTTGGGCTATGCATTTCATAATTAGATATAGGACGAATTTCTCAAAAATAATTTGAACAGATTTTAATTAGATTTCCAGGAAAAAGATTTTTAAATGCATCATTATTTTCGAGCATTTTTTTTATGATAACCATGGCAAAACTATATATTCATGAAAACCAAAAACGGATTACGGGTATAAAAGGATAAACATAATTACATATTTTTTGAAGAGAGATTTCTAAATGACATGAATATTTAATATCATGACAACCAAAGGAGAAGCGTTCTGCCTAAATTGTATAACAGATTTTCACAAGTAGAGTGTTGCCTTCTCTTAATACGAATACAAACAGTTGTGAGATGTGCAGGAATATGCGTATTATGAGAAGTCAACACCCGACATATTATCAGAAGTAAATTGTACAAAGTTCATTCATTTTTAATACACAATATCAATTCTATAACATTTCCTTGTAACAATTCTTAGTATATAATTGTTATTAAAAAGTCATCAAAAAATTAATAATTTATCCTCTGGTTAACATATCAATAACACACAAAATATGGTACTCTAATGCTTTTTACTAAAGTAATAAAGATGAAGCAAAATAAAGTTTTAAAATCGTATATTTACACTGTACTTTCTTTCATATAAAACATGTATCAACTTCAGGTGCACAAAGTTTCTTGTAATCTCAAACAAGAACTCAAAGCTATAGACGCGTACTGGCTCACAACAGCAAATGTAATTCATCCAACAGTAATGTGAATGCAATACAACATTTCCCAATATGGTCCTTGATGATGTTTTTTTATGAATCTTTCATTTTGTCGTCGCATATTTAATTTCATCGAAGGCCTTTCTTGCTTTTCTGAGTTCTTCGTTCATCATTAGGAGTTCCTTCACACGGGAGTATTTCTTTGGGTCTTTTCGGATTAAGAAGATGATGTCCTCTACAGAAATTCTACCTGGACGCCCAACCTCCATCGCCTTCTTTGTCTGAAAATATAATATTTTTATTTAATTGATGACATTATATACATAAATGTCCTAAATTATCAAACGCTGAAGATTTTTTGATTATTTATTACTACACTAGTATTTTACTGCATAGTTATTATAGAGTATAACTTAATAATCCCTTTTAATTACCAAATATTAATGCTTTTACTATTTTTGTTATGCAGCTATAAGCCTATTTTTACCATTCCTATTTATATACATCTACATGCCTATTTTACCATTCCTATTTATATACATCTATATGCCTATTTTTACTATTTATATACATCTATATGCCTATTTTTACCATTTCTGCTATTATACAACTATATCAATCAGTATATATCTTTTTTAACCATTTCTGTTATACTGCTATATGTTTATCTTTTACAATTTCTATTGTAGAGCTTATATATCCCTATTTTTACCATTTCTGTAATACAGTTGTACACCCATGTTTACCATTTCTACTTCATCTGCTTCTACTGGTATTTACAGTGGCCTTTGAAGTGGAAATGGTTTACAATATAGCTGTTTTAACACTTTTACGAGTGTCTGGTATGAGGTGTTGACCGTGTGGTGCAAAATAGTACACAAACTATGGGTATTGTGAAAAATAGTTGTTACTATTTATGAATAAATGAGCTTTACTGCAGAGTATCACTTCTCATGTCAAAAAATAACTGACCACTAGGCTTCTTTTTTTTGCATGCGAGAGATGAAAATAGAAAATACCCCAGTACTGTAGAACCACCGGCATAGGCGTAGTCATAGGGGGGGGGGGGCAGCGGGGGTAGCCCCCCCACTTTAGCAAAGATTATGTTGTGCCCCCCCCCCCCCCCACTTTTTAATGAAGAACAAAATCACAGTTATTTTGAAATAATATTGAAAGGAGCTTGCCTTTGAAAAAAAAGTTGGCCACTACTTTTTTTTTTGCTTGTCAAAGAATTTCTGGACTTGAGCCCCCCTACTTTTAAGTTTGTGACTACGCCTCTGACCGGTATCATAGGAATGAAGTATATATGCCTATTTTTACCATTTCTGTAATGTATTCAATGACAAGATCTTCCAGCAGCTCTACACTCTCTGTATACGGATTCCTGTCATCTCCAAAACCATACATCATACAGCGCACTACAACAGAATAAAAGAAAATTTGAAGGTGAATTTATCAATTATCATACTGTTTACTGCAGTTGGTTTCAGTAAAGAATTTTATCAGATTATATACCTGTGTAGCTTTATATAGGGCATAGCTATTTCAAGTAGATATATTTAGCTATTTCAACCATGTTACAATTGAACATAGGTGAAAGTCAGCACTTATTTCTTGCCATATATGAAAGGGGAAGACATTCTTATAATCATAAATTAGTATTTAATAACATCTATATTCTTAGCTAATTACATTCTGTGTATTTTCTTTCTCTTTTGGAATATCGTCTTCCACTATCTTCATCGAACTTGGATATATTAGATCAGACTATTATCAGCCATTCAGATTTATCATTATCAAATCATTCCAAAAATGTAAAATTTTTCTGCAATAGCTGTGACTCGGTGTTTTAATTCCATATGAATAACACAATTGTCTTTGAGAATATTTGTGTAAATTTAAAAGAAAATTTGCCATTTGATTGTTTATATTTATATCTGTTTAAACAATATATTTCTTTTCGTATAAAATATCAATTACATACTAAAAATACATTAATATTATGACAAAAATGATAACTTTTACATAATGTATGCAATGCAATAACATATTATTTTTATAGTATACAGTGACTTTAGGCTTCGTTTATTAGCTTGTTCCAAAGGAAGTGTCTATCCGCACGACGGTCGTGCCGATTATATTCGTTATTTCACGGTCGTGCCGATATAACGGTCGTGCCACTAAAAAGAGAGCAAGAAATTGTGCACGCTGCTTTAAAAAGGTTAAATGCGTAATGTAGTTCATAAAAATAATGTGGTTAAAAAAAATTAACGCAATAGGTTTTCTTTTTTTTTAAGTCAAATAAAGGAGAAAACTAATATTATGTATAGAGGGATTTTTTGTAAATGTATATAAATCATAAATGAGTAAATGACATCTATATTCTTATTCTATACTTACATTCTTTCAGAAATATTTTCTTTCTCTTTTCCAACGGAATATCGTCTTCCACTTCATCTTCATCGAACTTGATAAAAAATATATTTTAGATCAGACAGATGTTATCAGCCATTCAGATTTATCATTATCAAATCATTCCAAAAATCTAACGCTACAGTGGACAATGTCTCTCTCGTAAAAAGTGAGCCATGCACAACAGGTAAAATGACACATTTATGAGGCACTCGGTGTTTTAAATTATCATATAAATAACACAACTGTCTTTGATGGGTAATTTGAGAATATTTGTGTAAATTTAAGTGAATGATACCTGAAAATCTACTCCTTCCGCCATGTTGATTTGACTAATTGAAGAAAGTACTGTTTACCAAAGCGAATTCATAAACAATGATTTTACAAATATTTATTACAATTACCTTTTGTATAAAATATCATGTGGTATATACCATTGGTCACCAAAAATACATGCAGCTAATATTATGACAAAAATGATAACTTTTACATAATGGGTATGCAATGCAATCTCTATTATTTTTTTAGTAATTACAGTGACTTCGGCACGACCGTCGTGCGAATAACGAATATAATCGGCACGACCGTCGTGCGGATAGCCTCGGCCTGTTCCAAATTACTTCCGGTTTCACTTTCAATCGAAGGTCGCATGCTAGTTTCATAATTTTCGACTATGGGATCTACAGAATCATCTTCTAAGGAACCGGAGAAGGCAAGTGAACCAGACAAGAAGTTGAAACCGTGTTGTGCTTGTCCGGAAACAAGGAAAATAAGGGATGAATGGTGAGGTCGATGGCCATATTACTACTAGATTCATTTATTTTGCAATATCTATTTTCTGAGTTAGTTTAAAGTCTGAGCAAGTCTGATTACTAACTACACTTGACTTGTCAGGGTTGTTCAACTATCCTTCTTGGCCCAACATGTTATAATTTCTTTTTATATAACATAGTGATATAGTGATCGGTGATGAATCTATCAATCTGTCAACAGATCAATGTCACAAATGTGGCACAAAGTAAAGTCAAACGTATTGTAATAATGAATTATATAAAAATTATATGTCAACTTTATAGGGTTTAGCTTTATGATGAAAATTTCACTACCGAGAACTGCTGTAAAAATTATTTCAATTTGAATGTTCTTATACACCAGTAATAATCATTGCATGGACTACTCCACGTCGTGTTTTGATGATGCAATCCAATCGTTTTTTTTTTACATATTTATATGCCCGGTATATAAAATGATCTGGAATAATAAATATTCTATACACTGTATAGTTGATTATAGGTACAGTACATATTTGTCTTCCTTCCTAACCCTTTGAGTTTCCTTTTCTTTTAGTAAGCAAAAAAGACAAATGGTTCATGATAGATATGCTCTCTATAGAGAAAATATGTTACTTCTTATCTTAAAATTACGTTTCCAATCTTTTATGTTTTAGTATCATGGCCAATGGAGAGGAAAACTGCAAAGAAGAAATTGAAGCACATAAAGAGTGTTTAAGAAAACTAGGTTTTAAGATATAAACACTAGAGGTACAGTAACATATCAAATTGTATCATTTTTTGTTTACAATGAATTATAAGGTGTGCTGAATAAATAGAATATTTTCTTTCTCATTTACTTTCAGTGCTTATTGTTTGGTTGATTGAATGGAGAACATGAAAGCTGTGTAAAAGTCTGTCCCAAGAGTCTGTAGTGTATTTTTTATGTAGGACTGTGTGAAATTTTGGTTTTTGTTTTACATATTAACTATTTATATTATTTTGACTGAGACTTTTTTTTTTGCAAAACTAATAAAAGAAGTTTAACATAAAAAAAAACTTATTTATCATTATGACAGGCTAGTAGGAACCTCAGGATTGGGGGAGAACCAGTAAATTTACTAGTATATACTTTTTGATAGAAAATAAAGACAGTGTATGTCTCATTAATTCTGCCATTACCGTTATATCTTTGCACAGAAATTGTCCCCATTAAATTTATTCGGGAGTCTATACGCGGGTAATGTTGGAATATTTAATGCAAAACTAAGGGAAGTTGAAGACGGAAAATCCAAAGTAATCCTCTTTTTCAATTTATTGAAAAAATACTATTCTGTAGAATCCAGAAAAGGACAGATATTTCATTATCAAACCACAGAGATTTGGCGCTATTCGTGCGGTGGCGGTGATTTGATGTTAATACAGAGCGTAGCTCGACTATGCATAGTCCAGATATCTTACGTTTTCGAGGCTGTTTTCGCTATTTTGATATTTTACGTGCCAGGAAAACGTCAGAACCGGCGCCATTGCCAAAATGGAAATTTTGCCGCGTCTCCAACTTGAGTTGATTTTCGAAACTTGCGAACCGACTTATATGCCGAACTCTCAAGTTATCAATAGCACAACACATCTATACTCCCCAATATTGATGAAATGAAAACATTACTCCACATTTCAATATAGGACTTGCAAGATTTCAGAATGCACGAAATGGAAACAAATCTCGACAGTCATATAAAATGTTTTCATGGCATTGGCATCGGATTTAAATTGAATGTTGAGGGACTAAGTGAAAGAGAGAAAAAAATCAAATCTACAAAAGAACCTGACAAGCAGAAAAAAAGTAAGGTGTGCTCATTGTCCAAACACGAAAATCCTATTTCAAGTGTGTGTGTGTGGGGGGGGGGGACAGAACTTCTATCAGTACCATTTTTTTTCCAAACACTATAAACTGTAACGTGCCTGTAAAAAGTGGGGGAGGGGTTCACTTGCGTCCAAATTTTCAATGCCTGATTATGTCTATCTTTGCAAAAATGGGGGGTGGGGTGGGGTAATCCCCCCCCCCCCGGTTCCGACGTCTATGCATCGGATTGTTTATTTTATAAACGAACCATATAAAACGATGGTGATTAGTACCAAAAGTATATTACTATTGATAAATTGTGAGTTTATCATTTAATTCGATTCGCGAGTATCGAAAATCAACCAGTTTGAACAAATCTCCAGTCGGAGGCGGCGAATTCCCAGTTTTCGTAATGGCGCCGGTTCTGACGTTTCCCTGGCATGTAGAATATCGTAAGATATTTCGGACAAGACTATGCAGTGATATGGCGATGATAAAATGATGTACTTTGGCAACAACCCGTACTTGCATCATCGATATTGCACTTCGGCGTCATCAGCTATGGGTTCATGACGTCATGACGTGATGGTGAGATAGGAAACTACCTTGCCATATCTGGATTCCTTCTGTACTAGACCGTTAACTCTGTAAGAAGTTTACTCTACGAGATAAAGCAGTGGAGATGTTACAGGGCTTTGAAAAGTATCCTCCCGGAATTGGGTCCATCTTCGCTAGCCAAGGGTTTTCCCTTGGCAAGCGAAGATGGACTGGGTCAAGTAGTTATACCCCCCGCTTGAAAAGCGGGAGGGTATATAGTAATCGTTAATTCCGTCCGTCCGTCTGTTACGCTTTGGGGTACCCATCTCTTATCCGCAACTCCTCTCATACCACTGAATGAAATTTAATGAAACTTTTACAGAATCTTTATTACATATTGCCATTGTGCACTTCCTATTTTACTTTTTGATCCGACACATATTTTGGGTTTTCCGGCCACAGCAAACATGGACTTTGCCATTATAACTACATGTATATGGAGGCGGGGGGTATCATTTAGTGAGCTCATCGCTCACAGTACCTCTAGTTATTATACCCCCCGCTTGAAAAGCGGGAGGGTATATAGTAATCGTTAATTCCGTCCGTCTGTACGTCCGTCCGTCCGTCTGTTACGCTTTATCTCTTATCCGCAACTCCTCTTATACCAGTGAGTGAAATTTAATGAAACTTTCACAGAATCTTTATTACATATTGCCATTGTGCACCTCCTATTTTACTTTTTTATTCCACACGTAGTTTAGGTTTCTCATAGCAAAACATGGACATTGCCATTATATGTTTACCTATGATGTCACATATATAGAAGCTTCTGGATAACATTTGATAGGACGAGTTATTCCTCTTTACACATTACCGTAAAACAATATATAGCAACACATGGACATTATGGGAGGCGGAGATATCATTTAGTGAGCTCATTGCTCACAGTACCATCTCTTATCTACTCATCCATACCATTGCTTGAAAAGTGGGAGGGTATATAGTAATCGGTATTTCCATCTGTGCACGTCCGTCCGTCACATATTTTGGGTTTCCCATAGCAAAACATGGACACTGCCATTTCATACATATGGGAGGCGGGAGTATCATTTAGTGAGCTCATTGCACACAGTCCGTCCTTGAAAAGTCCGTATCTGTTACGCTTTGGGGTACCTTTATCTCTTATCCGCAACTCCTCTCATACCACTGAAGGAAATTTAATGAAACTTTCACAGATTCTTAGTTATATATTGCCATTGTGCACCTCCTATTTTACTTTTTGATCTGACAGATATTTTTGATTTTCCAGAAGCAAAACATGAACACTGCCATTATATTCATATGGGAGGCGGGGGGTATCATTTAGTGAGCTCATTGCTCACAGTACCTCTAGTTTTGTTTATAATGATCGCGGAAAATGTGTGGGGATAAACTTCAAATAGAGAAAAAGAGAAAGCAGTGAATAAAAGTTTTTTTTATTCACAGTTATAGATATACAGTGAAAAGAACTAAAGGTACTGTGAGCAATGAGCTCACTAAATTATACCCCCGCCTCCCATAATGTCCATTTGTTGCTATTTGTTTTACGGTAATGTGTAAAGAGGAATAACTCGTCCTATCAACTGTTATCCAGAAGCTTCTATATGACGTCATAGGTAAACATAATTATAATGGCAATGTCCATGTTTTGCCATGGGAAACCTAAAATACGTGTCGAATAAAAAAGTAAAAAGGAGGTGCACAATGGCAATATGTATTAAAGATTCTGTGAAAGTTTCAATAAAATTCACTCAGTAGTATAAGAGGAGTTGCGGATAAGAGATGGGTACCCAAAAACGTCACAGACGGACGGACGGACGGACGTCCGTCTGTTACGCTTTGGGTACCTTTTTCTTATCCGCAATTCCTCTCATACCACTGAATGAAATTTAATGAAACTTTCAAAGAATATTTGTTGTTTAGTGCTATTGTGCACCTTCTATTTTACCTTTTGATCGGACACATATTTTAGGTTTTCCAGAGCAAAACATGGACACTGTCATTTTTTTTTCTATAATATTGAAGGGTATCCATCTCTTATCCGCAACTCCTCCTATACCACTAAATAAAATATAATGATATTTCACAGATTCATTATTACATAATACCATAGTGCACCTCCTATTTTACTTTTTGATCTGACACCT